GCCTGACCTTAATTAATATTATGGTCTAGTTATTACTTAGTCCTGCCTTGAGTGCAGGGGACTGGACTAGATGACCTTTGAGGTCCCTTCCGGTGCTACACTTCTGTGATTATAAGTGATCTCACAAAACAAATAAATGCCGGAGTAGTGTCACTCTGTTCACAGATGATTGTGATCTGTGGGTTAGGAGCAGGAATATTGAGGTGTCAGAAAAGAGAATCAACAAAGCATTAAAAGAGACCTCTGACAGGGGAAATGCCTGGGGTTTCAAGTTTTCCACTGCTAAAACCAAAGGACTGATCTTTACAAAAAGGAAAGTTACAAAGGAATGTAAATGGTATTTGTATGGAGAACGAATAGATATAGTTAAAAGGTTTAAATTCTTAGGGGTAATCATAGAATCATAGGACTGCACTCAAGGCAGGACTAAGTATTATCTAGACCATTCCTGACAGGAGTTTGTCCAACCTGCTCTTAAAAATCTCCAATGATGGAGATTCCACAACCTCCCTAGGCAATTTATTCCAGTGCTTAACCTCTCTGTTTTTCCTAATGTCCAACCTAAACCGCCCTTGCTACAATTTAAATCCATTGCTTCTTGTCTTATCCTAGGAGATGAGGGATAGCTCAGTGGTTTGAGCACTGGCCTGCTAAACCTAGGGTTATGAGTTTAATCCTTGAGGGGGCCATTTAGCAAGCAGCAGGGGACAAAAAAACCTGTTAGGGACAGTACTTGGTCCTGCTAGTGAAGGCAGGGGACTGGACTCAATGACCTTTCAAGGTCCCTTCCAATTCTATGAGATAGGCAAATCTCCATATTATATTATTATTATCCTCAAAAGTTAAAAAAAAAAATTCTCCCTCCTCCTTGTAACAACCTTTTATGTACTTGAAAACTGTTATGTCCCCTCTAATTCTTCTCTTCTCCAGACTAAACAAACCCTATTTTTTCAATCTTCCTCATAGGTCATGTTTTCTAGACCTTTAATCATTTTTGTTGCTCTTCTCTGGACTTTCTCCAATTTGTCCACATCTTTCCTGAAATGTGGCGCCCAGAACTGGACACAATACTCCAGTTGAGGCCTAATCAGCGCGGAGTAGAGCGGAAGAATTACTTCTCATGTCTTGCTTACAACACTCCTGCTAATACATCCCAGAATGATACTTGCTTTTTTTGCAACAGCGTTACACTGTTGACTCATATTTAGCTTGTGATCCACTATGACCCCCAGATCCCTTTCCATAGTTCTCCTTCCTAGGCAGTCATTTCCCATTTTGTATGTGTGCAACTGATTGTTCCTTCCTACATGGAGTACTTTGCATTTGTCCTTATTGAATTTCATCCTATTTACTTTAGACCATTTCTCCAGTTTGTCCAAATCATTTTGAATTTTAATGCTATCTTCCAAAGCACTTGCAGCCCCTCCTAGCTTGGTATCATCAGCAAACTTGTGTACTCTCTATGCCATTATCTAAATCATTGATGAAGATATTGAACAGAACCAGATCAGAAACGATTCCTGCGGGACTCCACTCATTATTCCCTTCCAGCATGACTGTGAACCACTGATAACTACTTTCTGGGAATGATTTTCCAACCAGTTATGCACCCACCTTATAGTAGCTCCATCTAGGTGGTATTTCCCTAGTTTGTTTATGAGAAGGTCATGAGAGACTGTGTCAAAAGCCTTACTAAAGTCAAGATATACCATGTCTACCACTTCCCCCCATCCACAAGGCTTTGTTACCCTGTCAAAAAAAGCTATCAGTTTGGTTTGACATGATTTGTTCTTGACAAATCCATGCTGACAGTTATTTATCACCTCATTATCTTCTAGGTGTTTGCAAATTGATTGCTTAATTATTTGCTCCATTATCTTTCCGGGGATAGAAGTTAAGATGACTGGTCTATAATTCCCCGGATTGTCTTTATTTCCCTTTTTCTAGATGGGCACTATATTTGCCCTTTCCCTGTCTTCTGGACTGTCTCCAATCTTCCATGACTTGTCAAAGATAATTGCTAATGGCTCAGCTATCTCCTCAGTCAGCTCCTTGAGTATTCTAGGATGCATTTCATCAGGCCCTGGTGATTTGAAGACATCTAACTTGTCTAAGTAATTTTTTACTTGTTCTTTCCCTATTTTCCCTATTTTCGACTCTGATCCTCCCACTTTTTGCTGGGGTGGACCCCGCCCCCTTCCCTTTGTCTTCCCCCCTAGGCCCCACCCCTGGCCAGGCCAGTGTGGACCCCTTCCAGGGTGCCTGGGCAGTTGTGGGAGGGCTGAGAGCCCGGCCATGATAAGAGCTGCACGGGCAGCTGTGGGGAGCTGCAGTGGTGTGGGCCCTCCACCTGCCCTGTTCGGGAGATCCGGGGAGTGGGGACACGGGCAGGGGGCTGATTTCAGCCCCACCCCACCCCAGGCAGGGGGGAACGGGCTCCCTGATCCTGCTCTGGCTTCCAGCTTGGCCAGGGGTGGATCCTCAGGGGGTGGGGTCCCCCCAGCCCCTCACTTTTGGGAAGGCTCCGACACCCTTGGGACATTGTGGCTTAAACAAGACTCTTTTTCAAATAAATAGACACAAAGATGGACTATGTGCACTCAGTAAGGTGGCCCCTTTTCTGGGTATGTTGGGGCTTTGATAAAGAAAGGGAGGAATTCAAACATCTTAAGGTTAAAAAAATTACATTGTTATTTAGTAAAAGCATCGGGGAAATGGAGTGTTATTAGAAAGGGGCTGCTATATTACCTGAAAGACGCAGAGCAAGAGGATATAATCTGCAAATATTGAGGAATGATAGTTGGTGGTGACTATAGACTATTTAGTCAAGTCTGCTTTGCCCTAAAAAAAAAAGAAAAAAGCGTGAAGGCCAGGTAGGAAGTAGCCCATGGGGTTACAGCAGTAAGGTTTAGGACTGTGCAGCTCTTGATGGCGTGTTGTAGGGTCCCTGGGCTGGAACCCAGTGTAGAGGGTGGGCCTGGGTTCCCCTATCAGCCACTGTGGAAGTGGCACTGTTAAGGAGCAGTGGGTCATCATGAGAGACTTTGATACATGCACCCCCCCCGGAAAGGGAAAATTACAGTGACCTGGCCAGAGGGCCAAGCCACAAAATGGGAGCACTTGAGTCCTGAAAGAGCGAGACTGAGAGAAACGACGGAGTGAGCAACCGCAGGAAGGGGCATCACACGGGCAGAGCTAATCCCCAGATGTGGCCAGAAGCAGGCGCTCCAGCGGTGAGTAGAGCATTTGTGACAGGGCACCAAGAGGGAGCGCTGAGTGGAATAACTCATCCCCTTATTATTTTGGTCACAAATTAGGCCTTGTTTCCAACACAATACTTTCAGTTTATTAATTTCCGGACTCACATTTTCTTATTTACCAAGCATGATCTTAAGACACTCCTTCAGTTAGATCAGTGGGCTTTTTTGTTTGGACTAATTCCATTTTTCTCTCTGGCTTTCTTGTGCCTCCTTATAACATTCTTTATTAAAAATAGCTTGATCTACTTTTCAACCAGGCCAAGCAGGCAAAAACTTCTAGGCCCAGTTGTCACAAAAGACTATTATCGCTGGAGGTGCTGATATGGACCCTCCCCCCGCCCCCTCCCATAGTGTTTGAGCTCCCTGACTTAGAGCGGAAGGTCTATTGACACACACAGACAGTGAGTTATGGATTGCTGCTGAGAAGCAGGACAGTCATGTGGGCATATCGTTGGTTTTGTTACTCAGCAACAATGCTTGGGCACAGCCAGTTTAGCTTGCACAACATGGAAGGTGACCTGCGATGGGGAAAAATGGGTTTGGTGCCCCTTTTTTGCTTCTTTCTGATGTAGGAAGGGAGGGCTGAAAAGTGTGGGTTTTCAGATTATTTTTTGACATGAGAAATTCAGGCCTGTTTTTGCGGAGGGCTGGGGAAGCAGTTGGATTATCTGATCTCACAAAACTTTGCATTTACATTAGGAAACGTTCCTGTGTTTGAACCTGGCTGGGAGCGCTTGAGTTAGGTGGCACAATGCTGAAGGCAGCATCACTAGCTCAGGTTCTCCCCCTCAATACGAAGAGAAGCCCACAGCTACCCTGGAGTCCGGAGCTGATTAATTCAGAGGGAAACTGATTTTTATTCACTCTGTTTAAAACATGGGGGCTTGTTCATTAACACCTATTTCACACAGCTGCTTAATGAACAGTGGGGAAGGAAAACTCCCCTTATTAGACAGTCCATCCATGCCCCAGCCAGTACTTTTTCTCAAGTGCGCTTCAGTCTGAGGGACATTTCAAGTCCCCAAGCAAACCCCTCCCTCTGGATGTTGCCCGTTATCGATTCATCCCCCCAGCAACAAAGACGCACATGAAGTTGGAGGCAGGGCAGGAAGGACTCCATAGCAACAGCCCGGCAGTTTCCTTCCTTCATCATTTGTTGGAGTCCCTGGTTTGGGGCCTTCCCTGTGTCCCACCTTCTGCTCCACCCCATTGGCCATGGAGGGCTGAGTCCTGCCCCGTCTCTCCAAGCGCTAAGGAAACTCCCTGCTCGCTCCTTTGGCTCTTCCAAGGGAAGGAGACTTCCAGAGAGGACAGCGACGTGCAGGCTTGACGGTCCCGATACTCCGAAGCGAAGCGAAGCGAAAGGTAACAGCGTTCTCAGGCCTTGTGCCCATCACAGAGCCGCCAAGAGAGGGCGGGGATCCTGCTTCTGCCCCTTCCAGTCCCCGCTCTGCAAAGCTGGAAGGGGGGAGAGGAGAGCTGGGGCAGGAGCCCAGCGTGGTGTCTACACGCGCGCCCTAGCCCTGGCCAGCGCTGTAACCCCAGCACCCCGGGAACACGCCGCGGGGTGCACGGGCAGGAGCCAGATCGCCGCCGTTCAGGCCGCGAGTGGCTCGTGTGGACAAGGTTCAGCTTTCTCAGCCCGTCCTGCTCTGCTGCTCCTGCGGTGGGTGACGGGTCCCCCCTTTTCCTGCCCCGGCAGAGAGCTGCAGGCAGGGGGCGGCGATCCGTCCCGACGGGGCAGCCGCTTTCCCGCACCGAGCTGGTGGCTTCGCCCTCCCACCTGGCCACAGGGAGGCTCCACAAAGTCCCCACGGTCCAGCAGCTCTCGCTGGCCCCGGCTCCCGCCCCCGCACACTGGCTCCGGCTCCGGTTCTTCCAGCGGTTGCCGGGCAGAATCCGATCCGGTTCGGCGGCCGCTGGGCGGAGCCGGGCCGCCCCTGCTCCCCGGCAGCTCCCTGAGCCGCCCACCAGCCCGCGGTCCGCAGCAGCCGGCAGGTGAGCGGGGCCGGGGGCGCAGCCTTCCCCTGGGGCCGGGCTGCCAGCGGGTCGGGGCGGCCCCTGCTCCCCGGGGAGGTGCCCGCCCGCTGCCCAGGAGCTGTCCCGGGGGCGCGGGGGGGGGGGGAAGTGGGGGCTGCCTGCCACGGGGCTGGGGTCCTGGCTGGCGCTGGGATCCGCCCTGGTCCTCACCCCGCCCCGCAGCGAAGGCAGCCCCTGCCCAAGTGGGATGTCGCTTGTGCCGCTGTTCAGCCAGCGGTAGCCCCCGCTGAGCCTCCAGCTGATGAGGGATCCCCAGAGGCCCCTGTATGGTGCTGCCCAGCCGCTGCTCTGTGACCCCTCCCCCCATTTCTCACATGGGGAAACTGAGGCACGGAGGAGGTAAGTGACTTGCCCGTGGCAGGATTAGAATCAGTCCGGGACCTGTGTCTAGTCCATGGAATCTGCCTCTCAACTAAACCATTGGGCCGTTCTGTGGGGCGAATGTAAATCCTCTGTTTCCCCCTCTTCGGTCCCCCACTTGTGGGAGTGTGGCTAGCACCAATGAATAGCAATAGGAACCAGCCACCTGGCTGTGGTTTCAGGCGGTTACATCCAGAGTCAACACTTCTGTTAAATCTGTTGTAGTAATGAAAGGTGCCCCTTGTGCTTTGCGTTGCTTGGAAATAGAAGCAGCTGTATAATCCCTATGCATTGTGTGTGTATAGTAGGTGTGTGCCCCTCCCTCTGGGGTGTGTGTGTGTGTGTGCAGTAGGTGTGTATCGCTCCCTATCCATTGTGTATCCCTCTCTGCTTTTCCTATCCTCCACTCCCTATAGCTACACAAGCCTTTTAGCTGATGAGATTCAGGAATATGAAAGTGGCCACATTTCGGTGCCTTTCAGTAGGAGCAGGATCGAACATTGATATTCATGTTTATGTTGGTTGTGAGATATGTAGCCTAGGATGGTGGTTCTCAGCTCTTTCCATATCAGGGTCCCCCTTTCAACACTGCAATCCCCTGCCCTTTAGTTGCAATCCCTCCTGGCAGGGTGGTCACGCCCACCCACGCTGAGAATTCATGCCCGAAGACACAGACTGGAAACTAATGCGTGTGTCCCAAAATTGAAGACCTCTGCTAGTGTAACACCCCGGGGTGTAGATGTAAGCACACAAGCTGGGGATTTAAAAGGTTCTTAAATCAGTGTTAACTTGTCCATGTTGTGGGTACCTTATAGTAAGTAGCAGCTAGCAATAAACACTCTGAGCATGCGATGTGAATGCCAGGAACGCTGCTCATTTCATTTCCTGGCATTCCTGTGTTCATTGCAGCCTGCCTGCTGTATTAGCCGAGGGTTTTGTACTGAATTCTCTTTTCTGAAAATGGAGGCAGGCAGGTGGGCATACTGCGGGGCAATCGAGTGATTGGGTTCACCTCAAACTTTCCAAAATACAAAGGTTTGATGCCAAGCATGGAAAGGGTCAGGCCGCGAGGGGAGATTTGGGGGGAGCTATGAGTGGAAAAAGTGGTTCTAATGAACGTTATCATGTGACTTTAATCCCAGTGCTTCTGAATCTTCACCCTCCCTTGGGTGCGTGCGTGTCCACACAGAGCTGGGGCAGTGGGTGGGCAGGAAAGCAGCCCGCAGGGTGAGGGATCTCAAAGGGACGTTCTGTTTCCTACAGCAGCAGCTGTGCCAGGCAGCCAAAGAGCGGAGTGGCAGCTGCTTGTCACAGCATGCAGCGTGAGGAAGGCGTGCTGAGATGGCCAGGGGTGCTGATGGTGGAGTTGCTGCAGAGCCGTCTGTGGGGGTGGGGCTCTATTACCAGAGGATTCCCGGTGCTTTTGAGACAATCCTTTGATGGCGCCTAGCTCATGGCGCAGTGAAACCCAAGGGTTAATTAGAGCTTTCGCTATGGCTCTGAAAACCACAATAGCCTTTGCTGACAAAACATTATTATCTATGCAGAGCTAGGTTCAAATATCAAACAAAACATTCCTGTAGCCGTGAGGAGATGTGAGGAGTTGTTGGTCTACACAGAGCACGAGGAAGGGATGTTGCCAACTCTCTCAGGTTTATCATGAGCCTCAGGATATTTGGTGTCTCTGCCTAAAGCCCCAGCTCTGGGAGTCACGTGACGATGTGAGAATTGGATTCCATTTGAAACAGGAAGCTTCTAGCCCAGGGGTGGCCAACCTGAGCCTGAGAAGGAGCCAGAATTTACCAATGTACATTGCCAAAGAGCCACAGTAATATGTCAGCAGCCCCCCAATCAGCTCCCCCACCCCGCTCCCAGCACCTCCCTCCTGCCCACCGGCAGCCCCATCAGCACCTCCCCCTCCCTCCCTGCACCTCCCGATCAGCTGTTTCGTGGTGTGCAGGAGGCTCTGAGGGGGAGAGGGGAGGAGCGAGGGCACTGCAGGCTCAGGGGAGGGAGCGGGAAGGGGTGGAGTGGGGGCAGGGCCTGTGGCAGAGCCAGGGGTTGAGCAGTGAGCGCCCCCCGGCACATTGGGAAGTTGGCACCTGTAGCTCCAGCCCTGGAGTTGGTGCCTGTACAAGGAGCCACATAGTAACTTCTGAAGAGCCGCATGTGGCTCTGGAGCCACAGGTTGGGCACCCCGGTCTAGCCCTTACAGCTGCAGAGAAAATCCTAAAAATGTGAATACTAAAGATGCAAAAAGCAGAAGGCAAATACAAAGACTTCCAAAAGGAATATTTGTCTTAAAAATTAAGATTAAAAAAAAAAAGTGTCCTGATTTTAGGGGGCTCTGATCATTGGTTTAGGAACACTCAGGTTGGCAGTACTGATAAGGTCAAAAATTCTCAGAATCTGTGTAGCAGATGGGCCAGATCTCCAGTGGCATCATTATGGTGATGCCTCTCAGGATGGGAATCTTGTTCCACTGCTTTTCCCCTTTCCCTGAGACTCTTCCGCTCCCCCCTCCCCTGTTGACATACAAAATGTAAGGCCCCAATCATCTGCACATGGAATCCTCACTGACTTTAGTAAGCACTTACCTATTTACCAATGCATCCAGCGGTAGCTTGGTACCTCACAAAGCAGGCTTGCAGGATAGGGCCCGAAGGGCTTGTGTTGACTTCAGTGGGCTTTGGATCAGACATCCAGGCCTCGTGGTATTGATTTGTCAGAGACAAAATCCCACCCGCAGCTCTGCCAGTTCAGCCTGGCACAGGGCACACAGACAAACGCCACCTGGGCTGGATTAACAGCGCCACCCAGCAAACTCGACCTGCAGGCTGGCTGTCTAGCAGCTTGAGAACTCAGCCTCTGGCTCTGTGTTGTAACTTGCGGTGTTCAGGAGGAGGAGTCTGCCAGTCTCAGCAACAACACAGCAGAGCTGGAGAGCTTCATGCAAACCTCTGGGGGGGAGGGGAAGAAATTGGGGCCTAAATAATTTGTGCCCCTTTTCAGTAGTGCTTTGGCCCATGCTTTTAACCAGGGGAAGGAGTTGTCGTTTGTGCTTCGTTCCATTCAGCGTAGGGTGACCAGACAGCAAATGTGAAAAATCGGGACAGGGGGTGGGGGGGTAATAGGAGTCAATCTAAGAAAAAGACCCCAAAATCGTGACTGTCCCTATAAAATCGGGACATCTGGTCACCCTAGTTCAGCGGTTTGCCCCGAGCTCTACTGAGAGCATGCGGATGTCCATGCTGAACGCAAGGGAAGCCCCACTCTGAAGTAGCTGTGCTACTGGTTCTGTTCCACTGCAGCTCTGACGTTCCCTCCTCCTTCCGAGGCTGCCGTCCCATCATCTTGTCTGCCAGCTCATCCCAAAGAGACTGGACATCCTGTGTGACCTTGGCCAAATCACTTCTCCCCGCCCCTCATCGGGCCTCAGTTTCCCCTCCCTTTTGTCTCTCTTAGTTGTTTAGGTTGTAAACGGTTCCAGATAGGAATCGTCTCTCACTATGGGCTTCTCTATGCTAGAAGAGTGGGTTGAGGTTAGGTTGGAGTGTGTTAACTAACCTGCACTTATCCACAACACGTCCTCGTGTGGCTGCATTGCAATATCCCTAGCCTTCCCAGAGCAGGTCCAAATGTCCCCATTATTCTAGCATAGACCCACCCTAGGTTTGTGTACAGCCCCTAGCACAAGGGGCCCCCTGAGATCATTTGGATCTTCCAGGTGCTTCCATTAATACAGATCAATAATAGTGTTGCTCAGAGGGCAATTTTTGCGCAAACACTTGTGCTTCCAGTTGATTGAATTAATGCATTCAAATGTGTTTTGCATGGTGAATTTCTAGCCTCTGTGAGTGTGCAAACGTCGCAGATCCCGGAGTGTGCGCACTGAGAAGTGGAGGCTCTTCTATTCCATGAGTTGTAGCATTGTGGCCGTAATGATAGTACTCTTAGGCCTTGGCTACACTTGTGAAGCGTGAGTGTAGTCGCGCCGCTCTCGCAGTCGCGCTGTATGTACTCCACCTCTCCGAGGGGAGTAGCTTGCAATGCTGCGAGGGAGCGTGCAGCGCTGCAGGCTCTGATTACACTGACACTTTACAGCACTGTACTCGCTGCGCTCGGGGGGGGGGAGCGTTTTCACACCCCTGAGCGCAGCAAGTTGCAGCGCTGTACAGCACCAGTGTAGCCAAGGCCTTAAACACTGACTTGCGTAATGATCAACTCTCCTGTGGATGGATCCGGTGATGGGATCCGTTTCTGGTGAGGGGAAGTCAGAATTACTGCGTATCCCTGTTTGTGTTCATTTAGACAGCAATCTTCAAGGCACGTGCGGTGAGGGTCTGCTGCAGGGGTGGGCAAACTTTTTGGCCCGAGGGTCACATCTGGGTATGGAAATTGTATGATGGGCCATGAATGCTCACAAAATTGGGGGTTGGGGTGCGGGAGGGGGTGAGGGCTCTGGGGTAGGGCCAAAAATGAGGAGTTGAGGGTATGGGAGGTGGTTCCGAGCTGGGGCAGGGGTTTGGGGTTCAGGGAGGGGGTTCTGACTGGGGGTGCAGGCTCTGGGGTGGGGCTGGGGGTGCAGGAGGGCGCTCCGGGCGGGAGGGGGATCAGGGCTGGGGCAGGGGCACAGGAGGGGGTCATTGATGCAGGCTCCAGGTGCTTCCCTCAAGCAGCTCCTGGAAGCGGCAGCATGTTCCCCTCCAGCTCCTACGCAGAGGGGCAGCCAGGCAACTCTGCGCAGTTCCCCGTCCGCAGGTGCCGCCCCTGCAGCTCCTATTGGCTGCGGTTCCCGGCCAATGGGAGCTGCAGGGGCGGTGCTTGGGGCAGAGGCAGTGTGTGGAGCCCCCTGGCTGCCCCTACGCGTAGGAGCTGGGGGGTGGACATGCCGCTGCTTCTGGGAGCCGCGAGGTGCCACGGCACGTGCAGAGTGGGGCAAGCCCCCAACCCCGCTCCCCAGCTGGAGCGCCGGAGCAGGGCAAGCCCTGGACCCTGCTCCCTGGCGGGAGCTCAAGGGCCAGATTAAAACATCTGAAGGGCCGGATGCAGCCCCCGGGCTGTAGTTTGCCAACCCCGGTCTACTGCATCGTTGTTGTTTGCGTAATGGTAGCATCTACGAGCCCTGGTTAAGGACCAGGACCCCAGTGTGCTAGGTGCTGTCCAAACACAGAACAAAAAGACAGTCAGGACCAAACAAAATAACTGCCCCCACATTACTGTCTGCGTTGCAGTGATTCCTGTTTACGGCAGAGGATGTACGTGCAGTTCAGCTAAGCAGCTAACAAAGACGTTCTCTGTCCCAGCTCAGTGCCAGTGTAACTATTTCTGTTAAATAAATTTAATTCTTTTCTTTGCTGGCCTCAGTGCTGCTCACGGTTAGAGCCCGAATCATGTTTAGAGCCTGATTTTGGTTCCCTTTGGTAGAATTGTTCACCTAAAAATCAGGTGCAGTTTTGAGTGGCAGGGACGTACAATATGACTGATGCTCTATTAACAACTTAGGAGCTCTCTCTGAAGTCAGTGGGAATTTTGCAGCTAGTATACTGCTAGAGAGGCAGTGTAGCCTAGTGACTAGAGCACTGGCCTGGGACTCAAAGGACCTAAGTTTATTCCTGGCTCTGCCACTGTCCTGCCGGGTAACTTTGGGCAAGTCACTTCACGGCTCTGTGCCTCAGTTTCCCTGTCTGTAAAATGGCGATAATGATACCTCCTTTCTAAAGCAGTTTTGATGAAAAGCGCAAGACAAAGCTGGGAATTTTATCACTGTACAGCATTATGTGACACTCTGAGATAAGCTAGTCGTATGCCATAACCAAACTTTCTTTATTATTAATGGAAGGAGAATCCTACTCCATCTGAGAGCAGTTGATCAAAATGGGTGAAATCCTGACTCATATTTGTGCCACGCCTTAGCTGAAGGCTACACAGATCAGCCAGGCGTTCTACCAAGAGAGGTTACTATGGAGATATCCCTGAACTTAATTTTTTTTTTTAAAATTAAAAATCCATTACGTAGTTTGTGGTTTTTGCTCCAGAAACTTTGGGCTGCCCTTTTTTTTTAGTATGTCGAAACATCCACTGTGGTGGGGGATGGGAGGTGAATAGTCTCTGGGTTTTGTATTTGTGTCTCCTAGGATAAGAGTCACAACCACTCACGTGACAAACGTAAATGAAAACTTGTTATGCGTCTGAATTATTGAAACAAGCCATTGTGCGACTTAAAATGCAGCTACAGTCAGGGGAAAGAACGAAATAAAACGGCACCTTCTTATTGCACAAAGCTGCTGCGTGTCTGAGGCAGGTCTGCCCACTTCACTAACACAGACCATCTTCTCCAGCGCACGGCTGGAGCGTGCTGCATTCTGTTCTGCCTAATGCACGACGCTGCATTCCTCTCACATGCTGTTTGCTCCGGTTTCTGAACCTTTCTTGTCCGTATTGGTCTAAACCAGACACTTGCAATTCCTCCAGGCAGAGACTTTGTCGTGCTACGTGACTGTAAAGTGTCCTGCATTCCTGTAGCACTATAAAAATAATAATAAGAGTGCTAGCAAATCTCTGGTTGCAAAATCTTCATTCCGGGAGGCAAGAAGAACAGAGTCGGTGGGGTTTCTTTCATTTCTTCCTACTGAGTTTTCAATTGGGCAGAAGTCTCGATGTGCAAAGATAAACTTGATGTGGTCCTTATTGACAGACTGAATATGGAGCTTTGATGCTATTCATGTCTGTAACTATAACTGTGTGTTACCACTTACTGATACAAATCTATTTCCAACTGTTATGGCCGGAGGAAAACATTGTGATGAAAAGTATTTGACAAAAAGGAAAACTTAAAGCTGACTACTCTGAGTGCAGCTCTGTCTTTTGCTGCTTATACACTGCGCCGGGCCAGATTCTGATTTCTGTAACATTGATGTAGAGCCAGAGTCAATTCACTGACTTCAGGGGCGTTACTCTGGACTTACACCGATGTCACAAATCTGGTGTCTAGGATATTGGAACTGGCTTTACACTTTATCAGGACTGGCAGCCGTTCAAAAAATACATAAAGAAATCAGAACACCGTTTGTGGAAAGGCTGAAATCTTGTTACCTAACAAAGATTCAGTAAGAAACTGTCAGTACAGAAATCATCTCAAGTGCAAATTATAGTTATCTGGAAAATGACAGCCAATAGAAACACGGATATTACGGCCTGTCTGATTTTTTTCATACTGTCGATCTGAGAGATCCATTAATTAAAAGGACTCGCGTCTGTTGGAAAGACAGAAATTCAGCCATGCTTGTTCTCTCACTGTGGTCCTGATTCAGCAATATACATGTGCTTAATTTTGAGATCATTGGGATTACTCTGGTGTTTAAGGATGTGCTGAATCAGGACTTGTGTAACTGAATATGCTGCTGTACATGACTGCTATATGTTTAAACAGTATTTCCTTCACTGGATTTTAAGCCCCCACAGATGATACACTTCAGATTGGCATCCATCTCTCCAGGAAAGATAACCGTATTGATTCAAGTCCCCTACAGCAAAGCCCTTGCCGAGATAATGGCCCTTGCATGCATATCTCACAATGTAGCAACTATCCATTTAATTTGCAGTCCTTGAGCACTGAAGATTCCAGTGATGATTAGCCTCCTTCCCATTAAGGTCTCGACCCTCAGGGTTAATATAGAAAATAACATCATCTAAATAAGGAGGCACTAATTTTAAACGTCAGTCCAGGTACAGCAGTGTAACATCTAGTACGGTACTGATATCTTCCCGTTTAATTTTTAGATAACAATGTTTCATATAGATGTCATTAGTCCTTGCTGTAGTTAAGAGACATTCACTCTGGAAGTAGCAATACTTTGAGGTGAAAAGTTGGCAGGCAAGACATAGGGGATATATTCTTCAGGACTTATTAAATATAAACCTGTGTGACTTTTAAAAATGCAATGCTGAGATCTGTATCTTGTAGATGGAATGTGGGAAAAATAAGTATTAACTGTCTCCTTTGTCTTTGTTTCAGGAAAATGGCAGACGGTTTTTCTGTAAGTTCTGACTTTTTAAACAAAATTCACGATCTTTGAGCATTATAAATGATGTTGCCTTGTACTAAAGCGTACAGTTGGTGTGGAAGCTAGAATTTCTCATCTTTTCTAAGCTGTATAGAACTCGTCAAAACTAAATTCAACTCTTAATCTGCACATTTAGTGCTGAAATAATCCCTCCTGGACATCTCAGGTTGGGCACCCAAAATCACCGTCTGCTCATGAATATTTAGGGTTGTGTGCACTGTCCCTGCTCTCATTGACTTCAATGGGAAGATTCTCATTGGTATCAGTGGGAGTGGGCCCAGGCTCATGGCCATTATTCTGGCTTTCAATTGTATGTTTATTACCATAAACACCACACAGTGCAGCTTGCTGGAGTGTGATGCTTCCCAGGGGTGTGAGGCACCTTGCTACCACCTGCCCTTAGCATGAGGGAGGCTTGTCTGTGCCTACTCTGGATCCATTGGCAACACAAGCTGCCTTCCAGAACTCTCTGCAGGCCTTGTGTTCTCTGGACAGGTTAGCAACCCCCAACTCCTCAGAGTGTCCCTCTGAAGTGCCCAGTCCCTGATCCACTGAACACTCCCAGAACTCTCAGGTCCTCTACTCCCAAGGGAATAGCACACACCAGCGTACAAGATTCAACGCCGGATCATCAGTCTGCTGAAAACACAGCACTTAGATATATTTATAGTGAAAACAAGGATAAGTTCATCATCAAAGAGCAGATAGTAAGAAAGAATATTGGAAACAAATGGTTACATATAAAACAAAATTCTAACATGCTTTCTAGAGCTTAAACTTAACTCACAAGCCTTTTTCTGTCTCAACAGGATAGCTTACTCTAAGTCCTTTTCCCACTGTTTTCAGCCAGGATGGCTGAGATCCTGTTTCAAAAGATCAAGCCTGTTGGCAATGTGCCTTCACAGGTTGAAGGCTGCCAGAGCATCTTTCTGCACCTTCCCCCCACAAATATACCAGAACAGATCTTTGAGATTCATCTGAAAACTGGGATCCCTCCTCAATTTGCCTCTTCCTGTTAATTTCCTTCTGAAGTCTCCACAAGCTCTTCATTAGCATTTGTCTCAGTGTGTTAATAGACTTCTACTGTAAGACACACAATGGTCCAGCAGGGAGATAAACATCTCCTCTTCCTGTCTGGAGAAGTTTGCCTCAAGGGACGCTACCTTTGAGTGCTCTGCCTTTAACTACAAGGCCTAGAGAACATAATTTGCTGTATATATGTGTAACTCTTCACATTTTCCATACATACATCGCATGATGATGATGATGACCAGTGTGCCACAGGTTTTTCATTAGAGACCTTACATGACATTATTTTGGTGAACCCAGGGGATCCCCGTGCCCTCTGCCAGTTGGCATCCAGAGTCTTTGGGTCATATAGAGACACTCCAGAGTAGCCTGTACTCCAAGCCAATGTCCCCTTCTTTCTAACCTCCCTAGGGCTCTCTCTCCAATCCCACTCCATGCCACCCTGGATCTCAAGGCTCTGTCCAGTGACAGGCCAGATCCTGTAGTTCGTGAAACACATTCCAAACCCCCTCTCCTGGTCAAGAAGTAGAATGATAATGAGCCTGCTGTTCGATGTTCTGGTCTCTGTCTGTCCTTTCTCCTCATAAAGCATCAAGAGACACAAGCATGTAAGGAATCAAAACAGACTCACGTTGGCTGGCAGGATGCAATGGCAGCATACTGATGATGTTTGTTTTCCATCCAGTTATCTGATGCTTTAGCTGGCGCCGGTAACACAAACCCAAATGCTCCTCCAAACCAAGGCTGGCCTGCTGGTCCCTGGGGAAATCAACCTGCTGGTCCGGGGGCGTATCCTGGAGCGCCGGGGGCGTATCCTGGAGCGCCGGGGGCGTATCCTGGAGCGCCGGGGGCGTATCCTGGAGCGCCGGGAGCCTATCCTGGAGCGCCGGGAGCCTATCCTGGAGCGCCGGGGGCGTATCCTGGAGCGCCGGGGGCCTATCCTGGAGCGCCGGGGGCCTATCCTGGAGCGCCGGGAGCCTATCCTGGAGCACCACCTGCCCCTGGACAACCAAGTGGACCTGGAGCACCTCCTACTGCACCACAAGTTGGACCTGGATTTGGATCTGTCCCTCAGCCAGGGGGACCTACTGCTCCACTGGTGACAGCTATATAATTTTTGAATAGCTTCCAGTTCTTAGACAATCTGCAGTGTCTGATAGGTTGAGAACAGGAGGGACCTGGGTGACTGAGAATGCAGTAGTGTGTGAATTAGGAACCGGAGCACATGGGGCTCAATCTTGCAAGGTGCAGAATCCTTCCTGGAAGGTGCAAAGTGCCCTCCTGTCTCCCAGCGTCCATAGGCATTGAGAGTACTCTGGCCCCTACAGGATCAGGCCCATAGTGCTGTCACCCAGCCCTTTAGAGCGCTGGTGTTACTGCCTAGGAGGTGGAAGTGCCAGTGTGCATACCTGGTCCTTCATGGTGAGTAAGGAGATGTTACAGAGCTGGGCTCTTGCTGGAAGAAACTGATAGCTCTGAAAAACACCACGCTCCTTGTTGTCACCTTGCATCTAAATTAGCCCTGAACATTTTCATTCCTGAGGAACAATCCACTATTGCAATTTCTAAAGCAAACATCCCAGAAAATGTTAGTTATTCCCTTTTGTTCCAGACAAACTTGGTTCCTTGACAGAGATCTTAAGTCATTAGCTTCCAGCTACATTTATACTGTAAAGCACCAGTAACTGGGAAGTCTTCAGTCAGCGTCCCTTTAATGCTAGGGAGGGGCGAGAGGGGCTCAGGGGTAGCTTTCCTGCATGGGTCAGTCAGCCAGGTGTCTAACAGTCTCCTGGGGAGCCTGTTGTGTTCCTCTGATCACTATCAAGTTATGAGAACTTAGGATTTGTCTGTGTATTTTTATATATGTGGTTTTAAATGTCGGCTAAGAGTCGGTTCTTGCTAATGAAACGTCCATGTTCTTTCACAGAGAGTCCCCTTTGACCTGCCCTTGCAGACCGGCCTCGTGCCTCGCTTCTTGATAACCATCGTGGGGACAGTGAATCCAAACCCCAGCAGGTAAAGTGAGCCGGAGCAAGGAGCGTCCCCAACGGAGCCAGGGTGACGATGCGGGGAGAGGAAGGGGTGAGGACAGAGCCTCTTCCAGCCGCGCTGCCCAGGGCAGGGCAGCAGCTGCCGGGGAAAGTGTCTGGCTGTGGTAGCAGCAGGTTGCCCCCTGCCCAGGCTCAGCATCTGGGGACAGGAGACGACTCTGAGCGTGCCCGGGGGTGGGGGCTCCAACTCGCTCAGCCGCTGTCCTGGAAGCCAATCCCGGGCAGGAGGCAGCGCGCTGGGAGAGCAGCTGAACATGCCGTGGGGAGCTGGCCCAGCGGGAGACAGAGCCCGCCCCTGCCAATGTGGAAGGGACAGGGAGAGCACAGGGACCCTGGGCAGGGCGGAGGCACAGGGGGAGGTCACGTATCCTCCCCTTTGGGCAGGGACCAGTCACCCTCTGTAATCTGAACTACACCTCCCTGGTTGCTGTTTTATGCTAACTCAGTGCAGCCTCTGCTTCCTATGAATTGCCCAATGTGTCCTTTCATTAAGCAGAAGTTTCTCAAACTATAAGTGCAAACTGGCGTGTGGAAGGGGCTATTGAAGCAGCCATTCAGATGAGGAGTTCACGGGGGCAGCCATGAGTATGGGGCAGGAACAGTCAGCCAGTCGGAGTGCAGTGTGTAGTGTGCTGTGGTTGTAATTTTAGACACACATAGGGTGACCAGACAGCAAGTGTGAAAAATTGGGATGGGGGTGGAGGGCAATAGGAGCCTACATAAGAAAAAGACCTAAAAATCAGGACTGTCCCTATAAAATTGGGATAGCTGGTCGCCCTAGACACACAGGGAGTTGCTGATATGCCCAGTCAGTGAACGCAGGACCTCGGGCTGCCTGTTTCATTACGACTGTGTAACTTGCATTCAGGTACCACTCTCCTGAAAGATAAATGTCCTTTTTGGCAGGACAGAAGTTTCTTGGCTTTCTGCTTTTGAACGTTGCCTTAGCTGTACTAGAGTCAGTGGCGCCAGAAACGTACGACCTTGTTTTCATGACTTACTCCTCCGCTTTCTGTGACTAAAGGCAACCGCTGTAGGAAATAGCCTACGAGCTGCACCACAATACAGTTCAGGGGTTGTGGAAAGAGCAGTTCTCTATCTCTTGCCATCTCTTACAGATTTTCACTGGATTTCAAGAAAGGGCATGACGTCGCCTTCCACTTTAATCCCCGCTTCAACGAGGACAACAGACAAGTCATTGTCTGTAATTCACTGATTCAGAATAACTGGGGAAAGGAGGAGAGAACCGCTCCCAGGTTTCCATTTGAAGCTGGCAAACCTTTTAAGGTACAAGCTAAACTTTACCCGGCAGGCCTGGTGACTGGTATACCTGGTACTGCACGAACTTGAAATGTGTATTTTCTAAATATCCGCTTTTAAATGCCATATATTGGACAGGAGTGTTCACTGGCTCCAGTGTCCCACTGCAAAAAGGGCACCACTGTGGTACTAACTGGCCCTTGCCTTTAGCAATCGAGGTGAATGGGCAAAAACAAGAAGCTGCCCTTTCAGCCCTATAGCTGGTCCTTCCAGCAGCCCTGGGAGACTCACATGGCTATTGTCCCTTTTGGTGACTAGAGGACTTAAATTGCCAGGGCTGTCATGCTGGTACCTTTCAACAGCACTACATGTGTGTTAAATTCCTTCTGATGCCAAGACTCTGTGTCAAAGCAATAGCAGTAGCTGCTGTGGTGCGGTGTGACAGATACGACCAGGTTCCCTACCAGCCAGGGCTGGCCAGTGCAGGACAAGCTAAGGGCCATGGAGTAAAGGCTTTGCTGCTTGCACAAAGGAGAAAGTCCAGTGAGTCTGGTTATAAAGAACCCTGCTTTAGTAAAAGCAGCAGAGTCCTGTGGCACCTTATAGATTAACAGACGTATTGGAGCATGAGCTTTCGTGGGTGAATACCCACCTTTATCGGATGCATGTAGTAAGGGGCACGTTAAGGTGGGTCTTACATTTTATGAAGTTGCCAGTTAAGGTATCCGTTCCATAACTTTCTCAACTGCTTCTGCCAAGGCTCTGGGCATAGCTTTTACCCCCTTCAAACCCTCTTCACCCCCCCCCCCATTCATGTTGCCTCTCTTTAAGAGTTACTAATTGGGTTGCTACACAGAGCTGTAATCATAGCCTTATGATGCAGATCAGGGAGGTCTCCCAGCAGACCACAGGGAAAGCCAGCTGATGCAGAAAACTGCTGGTCAAGGAACCCTTTCTACAGAACAGTCTAGTGGTTGGTCAAAGCCAGGCTGACAAGGTCAAGGTGCTACAACCTCTCAAAGGTTAGCAGGTCCTTGCCACTCACAGAGGGGCTGGGGCATAGTATCAAAGGGGTGCATCTTTGCCCCACCTAGCTAGCTAACACAGGGAAAAGTCTCTACTATAGGAAGCAAATGTCCTGTTACCATTGATTTGCTTTGATTGTGTGGTGGTTTGGTGGATTAAAAAAAACAAGCCCTGAAGCAAGTCCTTTTAAGGCCCTGAAGCTTGGAGGGTTTTTTCCCTTCCCTGGTTGGTGAAACAGCTCCCCAGTTTACACATCGCTACTGGAACATGTGGAAGTAGAGTTACAGTATCCAGGGCCCCTGCTCGCTCAATGTTTAAAACAGCCTAGCAAAGCTCTACTTGACGCAGGCAAGTAAAACAGCAGGTTGTTGAGCAGGTGTCTGGTCTGCTAGATATTCTTGACCATTTTACAAGGGAGCCTGGGCTTTAACAGGGAACTGTAACCCTGGGATAGCATGCAGTAGTACAGGTGGTGGACAAGACTCAAGCAAATGTTACTGAACTAGTCCTTATAAGGGAGAAGGGACTGAACCAACACTTGGCTTCAATTAGGGAAGAGAGATGCAGAATTAAGTGCTTATGAAAGGTATCAGAGGGTAACAATGAGGTCCCCCGTCCACAGCACTAGCACAGCATGGATGTCAGCCTCACTGCAAAGCTTTCCCACCAGCTCTGGAGGGATGACGGCTCATGAGGGATACTTTAATTTGAATCTTTGGTCAGTGGAATGGCAGCAGAAAGGCAAATGGCCATTTTTTGCAATAGACACTTACCCCTCACAGTGCCAACTTGTTTCACATCCACTGCTAGCTGCTGCCAGCGTGACAATGGTATTCGCCTAGACTTGATTCAGAACAGTCCCTATAGTCCCTGTAGCCTGAGACCTAGTCCCTGAAACAAATGCAACATTAAACTCATCTGCTTGTCTCACATTTTTCAGATCCACGTTCTGTGCGAGACGGATCATTTCAAGGTAGCTGTCAATGATGCTCACTTGCTGCAGTTCAACTACCGGCTGAAGAACCTGAATGAAATCACCAAACTCAGCATTGCTGGGGACATCTCTCTCACCAGTGTTACGCCTGCTATGATATGAGTGGGGTTTTTACACCAAGAAACATACTCCGGTCATTTCTTGAATAGCAGTTAACCTTTAAAAAAAATAAAAATTGCTGGCTTCATTTATCCTTTGTACGATAAACTTAATAAAATACTTGTACTAGAAGTGAAATTTGCTTCCCTGTTATTTAAAAAGGGTATCAGAAAATGGGTACAAAAAGCTTCCCTAGCAAGTCGCGGAAGTTTAAATATGGCAAATATTTAGGTAAATGCATATTAAAGGCCCGAAGGGGTGTTTACCAAAGGACAGAACAGAGGAACGAGAGCTTTGGCATGGGCCCACCCAGAGAAGAAGTGAGGACCTCATTGGAAGAACAGCCTGATGCATGTGACCACTGGTCCTATGAGTAAAAGGAACAGCCAGGTCAGGATTTCCCTATCAGATGCCTGATTGGGTTGTGAATCTTCATGTTGTTTTAAACTGGCTCTGGGCAGAATCTGACTCCACACTAAGGGTAGGTCTACACTTACCTCCGGGTCCGGCGGTAAGCAATCGATCTTCTGGGATCGATTTATCGCATCTTGTCTAGACGCGATAAATTGATCCCGGAAGTGCTCGCCGTCGACGCCGGTACTCCAGCTCGGCGAGAGGAGTACGCGACATCGACGGGGGAGCCTGCCTGCCTGCTGCGTCTGGACCCGCGGTAAGTTCGAACTAAGGTACTTCGAATTTGCGTACCTTAGCTCGAAATGGGGGGTTAGTGTGGACCAGGCCTAATTGATACAGAAGTAAAAGCTCAACCATGCTCAAGATATCAATATTGGTCATGGTTTGGTCACCTCCTCTGAGGGATGTCACTAGGATCACTTTTCTTCCACATTCTCTCAACTTTAGAGAGAGTGCAAAACAGCCACTTTCTTTGCTTCTACAGGAAGCACAGCTGGAGCCTAGAGCATTCACTAACTCCTACTTGAACTCAATTCAGAAGGAAGCCTACAGCAAGATGCACTGTAATGTTTTGATCCTGTAAAGCACAATACAGCTCTCCACTCACCAATGTTAGCTGAAGATATTAGGAATAAATGAGGCTCAAGAAAAGTTACTCTAGAATTGCAGCTATTGGGGGGGGGGGGGGGGGAATCAAATCTGGAAAGACCTTTTCAGACAAGCTAAAAGCTTAAGCATGTCCAAAAATTAATGTTATCAACTCCGGTAGCATTTAAATGGTAAGTCTCATTAAAGTTGAAGATAAAAGTTAATTAAAAGTTGCAACAGTCCAGCCTGACCTAGCTTGTTTGAAAAAAAAAAAGATGCAGGTATCTCCCTTCTAATGGTCAACCTTCTCTGACAAGAAGAGGCTGAGAGAACAAGAGGGGTTACACTTAATATAGGAAAAGCAAGAGGTTCAATAGTAACCTAGTTTATAAAATGTGGAATAAAAACTGTATTGAAAACTTGATGAATTCTTCCACTTAGGACAATGAAGTCCTAGCTCCTTTCAACTACTCCATACTATGAGCTAGTTAAAAACTTAAAGGAATTCATGTTTAAGTGGAGAGGATTTTCCTGGAAGGGGAATCTTCTGAAGAGACACTACTACACAAAGCAGCAACATGGGAAACTGACCTTTGCACCTGGTAGTATAGCTGGTGTGTAGTGAACTGAACAGTAAGAATACTCTGTGGGGCACTAGATTCCTAATAAGTTACATTTAGCTGGGAGAAATTACTCAGGTGGATTTGATTTAAATCACTAGCGAGGAAGACTCTATTTAATCATGGTTTTTTACATAAAAGCGCATTCTTGTTGGTTGTTATAACCTTAATACATATTCTTCACCACTCAGAGAGTTTCCTTTTTAGAAGGTACACACTATACATTCTTAAACAGTGATTTATTTTGAAAACTTTTCAGGTTAGTTTTACAGCTACATCAGAAAATAAATGATGGTTTAGTTATTTCATTTACCAAAGGTAACTGAAGCAGATATTTATGAAGTCATTTGGGGAGGTGAACTCTCTCCAATTCAACAGGTTAATCATTAATATTTGGAGGATTTTCTTGCCATGCTGTATTAGGAGAACTTTACCAGACAGACATTTAAATTGTTTTATTTAACTGAAACAACATTAAGTATTCTGGATTTTTTTGTTCAACAGCAAACATATGTTTGTTTTGTTATAATATTATATGTCCCTCACTTCTCACATTTATCTCCAGACTTCTTCTCCTTGTCCAGATCTATTCCACCCCCAAAAATCTTTTAATCATTGAACTTTTTGAAACTTTGCACTTTTAGAGAGAGGTAAGGGATTGACTCTGCATACACAAATTTGCAGAGGGACAATAGAGTTGAGGTCTGTTATTTCTCACTTCTATATATTATTTATTTAAAAACATTTTTGCAGTTAACAAGCATGTTACCTCTGGAGACACAAATCTACAGTTTGAGAACTGCAAAACTAAGCGCATCTGATGGTATCTTCTAGACTGAGCACTAAGTCCTATTGGGTAGATAGAAAGATTAACCTAAATAATCTATAAAAAGCCTGTGGAACTCCTAAGATTGGGTCCCTAATCCATGAACTATTCGAACTCATTTACAAAACTTATATTCATGTAATGTTTAAGAAATTGTCTCATACTATAGAATTAGACTTTATAATCCCTATTCCATCATGAGATACCTTTGAGCTATAATGTATCTTTAGATATGCATTTTTGAGGGGAAAAACTTATAAAAAAATCCAATTTAAATAAAAAAATAGATTATTTTTAAAAATCATTGATTTTTATCCACCCTGAAATTACTCAAGCACCATGGAAATGTGTAGATACTTGCATCACAGAAAATACAGTACAGACAAGCTGATTCTCCTTCCCTCTCTAAAGTTTGACAGTGAGTTGGGGCTGTTAGCAACCTCCAACTTCAAGAAGAAGGTTTGCATGAAGAGGTGGGGAGTGGAGGGGGGAGAATACACTGATCACCCCAAATGGGAAGGAGCTGGAGTGGTGGCCTTGGGGATCTGTTAAAGTTGTACTTTCCCTTCAATCTTAGAGAGTCCATTTTTGGGATTTGATTCCATTCACATGCAGCACTCCCCAGGAAAGCTGCAATCTGAAGTCACATGAAGAACATCAGGACAGACATTACTTTAAAAGAAACCCTTAATGAACCTGCTTACAAACTTATCAAGAATGAGTCATATGTAATATACGAGTTGTACACTTAAGGTATCTAACAGATATGCCTTAATTGTGACATTACATAGTAAGGTGCAGGCAGTCTGAGTTGCCAGCAGGTGAGATGTGCTAGCCCAGAAGGACAGTGTCATCAGAACCCCCCCCCCCACCACCATTTAACACTAGTGTATACAGACTAACATTTCACATACGAGTCTCCAACACTCCTTACTACACAGGATTTTTAAGAATACAGCTGAACAAGAAATTTGTCCTCCGTAAACGACGAATGGAGATGGCAATCTGCCTTGGGGACCGAGTTCAGCAAGTGGACCAGCACAGCAATCCTGAGACAGGTTAGCACCCTCATCTTTATTTCAACACACGACTAGTGTCATGAATACAGCACTTTCAGCTTAACATTCTGAAATAAGATCCCCTTGTCAGAGGTGAGATGCAGCAGAAAGCACTGTAACTATGGAAAGATACTAGGTATCTGACTAAGGAGTTGGTTTAAAGTAAAGCTAGGGGAGAATTGGTATTTTATTATACAAAATTGACTATTAGACAATGAAGAGGCGAAAAGTCACTTTTGTTTTTTAAATTATGTGTGACAGTTGGAGCTGATCTATAATAATTTATGAATACTGGATGTTGCCTTGGTTACTGGGATGTTTGCTGTATGAATATATTGATCTAGTTCAACCGGGGGCCATAAAGAAAAGGAAGGGTTCAGGATAAGCCACTTCTCCATAACCACTTGTAGGTTGTTAAGAGACAATGCCAAGACAGGCAAAGGCTCAGGAACACAGGAGATCAAAGAACTGTGGCAAGTTTAAGGAGTCTCTCTCTCTCTCTCAAAAAATGGAGGGGGAGTTTGGGGAAACCAGGGTGACATACAAGAACTTGCTGGGGGGAGTCTTAAGAAAAAACTTGCCTCAGGTGCCATCAGCAACAGACATACACACGGGTTATCAAATCCTCTTTAAATGCTTTGTTCCTACTGTTAAAACCAACATATTGTTTGTTTTAAGAAAGCTGGTTGGTCACTGGACAGCACTGATCGCTAACTCCTAAAAAGAACCCCCATCAGATCTGCTGAATAAGCACAGTCGATAGACAGGGCTCAGTGTAAGTGTGGGGGAATTGTGGAATTCCAGAGTGTAGGTAAAGACAAAGGGCCCGAATGGGTGCACTCAAGAGACCAGAAAGGGGACAGAGGTGCAGCGAGAACTGTAACAATGACTGCACACAGTACACCCCATCTTTTGTACATAAATTATTTTTTGAGGTAAGGAAAGAAATGAAGGAGAAAAGCAAAAAACTGAATAAAATAACGTTTATATTTTGAAGTGGATAGGACATGTGTGGAAGCTTAGACATGATATATTATCCCTAAATAGGAGCGTCATCATGCAAGTCACTATGGATACAACAAGCCTACTTATCACCCTCCCTAGCTATTACTGTACAGCAGTTATCAAATTGCAACATCATCTGCTTCATAAAAATGTTACAAAACGTTTTTAATAAGTAGCTCTACTATTTAAATACCAGGTTAGACACATTTACTCAGTACACAGTTGGTCTCAAGGGTAATATCCTGGTACTTCAGATGTCCCTCTCTGTATTCAATTAGTGTAATTTACACATTCTGAATTCAAAGTCAGTCTTCATTTTTCCACAGAGGGGGGAGACAAAGGAGAAAATACAATTAGATCATTGTGTATTTCAGCTGCTGCAAACTTCTGTGCTTCATTCCTGACTGGCGTGAAGGGGAGGCTGCAATTCGAGCTTGGCTGTAGGGGAAATTAAAGCGTAAAGTGTTCAAGCAACAGTTATCCAGTCTACAGCACAAATTCACTAAATCATATTACAGCAGCAGATTACTGATTAGCACAGTGATTTAAATGCCAGACTGACAGGAACTGTCATTATCAATCAATTGTTTATGCCTGGTGTAGGTGTCTATGAATAATAGACATGTATAAGCCCTTGGGAAAAGAGGTGGTGGACAATGTTTTGACAAAGGGATTTTATTAAGGGAATTCTCATCCCCTCATTCAGTACTATGGGGACTAATCACAGCTTTAAAATACACAAGTTTAAAGGTAAAACATAGGTTTTGCTAGCAGAATCCTTAAGAGTGCTGAAAGGTGCAGAATTACTAGAAATATTAAGTATTGGATGGAGTGCTTGACTCAAATGTGGTGATAGTTGTTGTGCTGCACATTTTTCCAGAGCAAGAATTAAAAAAAAAAAACTCCAAACCAACTTACCAATGTCACTGGGGCCCCCCCTTTGGTCCAGCACTTTGCCGGCTTGTTTCCAATCACATAAGGAGAGTTTAAATATCAGCTCAGTTTTGGAGAGAAGGGGATCAGTTATAGTAGCAATCCACATGCAAGGTGGGCTCTTCAGAGGAGCCAAGGGAGCTGGGCACCCAAATCCCCTAGATTTGGACACCAACTTTCCCCATGGGCTCTTTTGACAACTTCAGCCCTAGAAAATATTAGAGCTACCAAGGCAGAGATAGAATAGAGACCTGAAGCATTCTCGTATGAAAGAGGGAAGGAAAAGGACAGATGAAGGCAGAAAGCAAGGAGCATATTATCCATTTTTAGCAGGTATAACAGAAGGAAATAAGCCTTCACCTGGTTAGCTATCATGCCTCAACTTTTCAGGAGGGAGAGGATCACTAAAGGTTCAGACTAATTGGATTTTCTGGCTGTTTGGTAGTTTGACCAAGTCAAGGATCAAGCAGTTTGACAGGAGTTAGACAACTGTTCTACAAAAATCTTGAGCTATTTTATCCTGGATCCACCTAAGCTGTTCTTGAGTCACCACAAAGGGCAGCATGCACTAAAGCAGTGAAGTGTGAAGTGAGGGTTATCAAACTTCATTGCATCGTGACCCCCTTCTGACAATAAAAATTACTTCACGATCTGGGGCGGGGAAGAGGAAACGAACCCTGAGCCCGCCCAAGCCCCACTGCCCTGGGTGGGAGGGCTAAAGCCCAAGCCCCACTGCTCCAGGTAGGGGGGCCAAAGCTTAAGCTCAAGGACTTCAGCCCCAGGCAGGGGGCCTGTAACCTGAGTCCTGCCACCCAGGGCTGAAGCCCTCGGGCTTTGGCCCTGGGTAGTGGGGCTCGGGCTTCAGCAAGTCTAAGCCAGCCCTGGCGACCCCATTCAAAGGGGGTCGCGACCCAGTTTGAGAACCGCTGCACTAGAGTAACTAGGTCTTTGATACTAACTTTTTATGGAGTTGAATTCATTGCAGTAGTTCAGGAAATTTTACAAATGCCATTTAATACGAAAGTTTAATGGTGCTGCCGTGTAAATGGATTGTTTTAGTCAAGAAAGACTAAAGGTGAACTTACCACGTGAAAGGGAGTTCCATCACTGGAGATAAAATCGCTATGCAAAAGATCTGGAAAATAAGACGACATTTCAAAACTTAAAAGTTACACTGCATTGCTTGATAGTGCTGGAAAAACTATACATTTTCTGCACTTATTCCTGTCTTCAGTTCGTTTTCATAGCGTCTATCAACCTTTGCTTCCGCTTTTTATAGCGGGATTACACACCCTATTGAAGATTATACAATTAAAAAAACCTCTCTTGATTAGTATGGTTGTTTGCTGTTGTGCATTCAGTATAATACAAGGATGTCAGTGCAAATATCAAATAGACACTGACACTGCACCCCATTTAGAGAGACTAATAGTTCTGCAGCAATAAGTTCATGTGTTAACAAGGTCCATTAATAAGCTTAAGATTGTCAGATAAAGCCTTATTCTGATTGTAAATTCCTAGTAGTAAAACACAAACCATGTGAATTAACTATAAAGAAACCCACCTGATTTATATTCTGGTGTGTGTGGTTTTTCAGCCTGAATGAAATCAGTTTCTGACTGGACATTCTTTTCTGGGCTGCGCATGACAACGTCTTGACCCGCAAGATCTGTAGCAGACAGTTCCATATCTTCTGTAACATCTGGCATTTCTATTTTAGTGTCAGGATCTTCCAATGCTTGAGAATCAACAGGACCTGAACGGCTCCTTTCATCTGGGCGTAAACACACCTCAAGGCCAGCTACATTTGTTTCCTGGAGAATTAAATGGGATAAGTAGAAAGTAAGATGGCAGGAGAGACATAAATCAGTACTCAGTTCTGTTTTGTGCTTTTTGTTTTGTTTTCATTAAAAAAATAGATCAACTTTAGAAATGGAAAGAAAGCACAAAGTGTACATGAGGGCCAGGACACGTGCAGGCCAAGAGATCATGGAAGATGGTACTCCACCATGTGTATTGTTAAGATACAAGGCCTGTGGATTGGAGTTGGTCTATGGATAATTTGTTAGAGTTTAGTAGATTTACACAAGAGACTCTTCAAAAGACAAAACAAAACAAAAGGTGGCCTCTGTAAATCCATTGCTATGATCTATTTCAGATGAAAGGTAGTTTCTTTGGTGCTTCTTTGACAAGCTTTTAAAGAGGAAAATGCAAGGTCAATTCTCCCTCCCTGAAGAAAACAATTTACACTTGCAGCAGAGGTGTCTGAAGAGCATTTTAGGTAATCAGTTAGTTCTCTTGCTACATTGTTTCCTCAAAGCACAAAACTACCTACTGAGCAATACTTAAGCTTGAAAAGTCCCACAGGCAAGGCTATCTCCCTGAGGAAAGCTATGAGAAACTTCTTGGGGGGGGAAGAGAAGAGGGGCAGTCATAACTGAACAAATGTTTCACATACAAGATCCCTTCTGCAGACAGTGATGTGGAATAAGTTCATGGAGAAGTTAGATGCAGGTAAAGATAATATAGCATCTAGACATTCTCAGAGGTGAAACAAGTGAACAGCAAGAAAACTCTTTGCTTGCTCTTTTAAGTGTAGTAGATGATGAGGATAAAAATCAATGCAAGAGATTTTTAGCAGTTTGTAGGAGAATGGCTTTAAGTTGTTGGACTCAGTTGGCCACAAAAAGGATTAAATGTAGATCCATATAAAGAAACAAAGCTTAAGATAATCTGCCATTCAATACTAATGATCCTATGCAAACACCTCTCCGAACTTTCAGACGCTCTGGAGGAACTGGAAAGTACGTTCTCCTGATTTAGAATCCATGGTATCCACTGCTTTATGGGGGTAAACATTAACAGTTTCTTATATACGGAAGATAGATCTTTAAGGCACATACATGCACTAGTCAATGAAGACATAACTCACATTAGTTCTCTCTGCTGCACCATCTGTCATAGAGCATTGTTCTTCTGCAAGTGGGGAGCCACTGAAAGAGAAAAAAGACAGTTACCTGTTCCGTAACTGGTGTTCTTCGAGATGTGTTGCTCATGTCTATTACACAGTAAGTGTGCGTGCGCTCCCCGTGCACCGGTGCCAGAAGTTTTTCCCCTTAGCAGTACCCGTGGGGGGGGGCGGGGAGGGGGGGAAGAGGAGAGGAAGCACCGCTGCGACCCCTGGAGTGGTGCCTCTATATCGCGCTATAAGGGGAGCCACACTCTCCCCCTACCCTCGGTTCCTTCTTGCCGGACAACTCCAACAGAGGGGAAGGAGGGCGGGATGTGGAATAGACATGAGCAACACATCTCGAAGAACACCAGTTATGGAACAGGTAACTGTCTTTTCTTCGAGTGCTTGCTCATGTGTATTCCACAGTAGGTGATTCCAAGCTGTATCTGTTGGAGGTGGGTAGGAGTTCCCGGGACGCAGTACCGTTCTGCCGAACCCAGAGTCATCCCTAGTTTGGGAGACAATCGCATAATGCGCAGTGAACGTATGAACTGAAGACCAGGTGGCAGCCCTACAGATGTCCTGGATAGGGACATGGGCTACATAGGGAGCCGATGAGGCCTGAGCTCTCGTTGAGTGTGCCCTGATGATCGGTGGCGGGGGAACCCCTGCCAGATCATAGCATGTGCGTATGCACGAGGCGATCCGGTGAGAAAGGCGCTGGGTGGAAATAGACTGCCCCTTCATACGCTCAGCCAAGGCAACGAAGAGTTGCGAGGATTTTCGGAACAGTTTAGTCCAATCCAGGCAGAAGGCCACTGCCCTATGCATATCGAGCGTGTGAAGGCGGCATTCCTCATTGGAGGAATGGGGCTTGGGACAGAGCACGGGGAGAAAGATGTCCTGTTCCATATAAATGGAGATATCCTATCTCCTAGAACTGGAAGGGACCTTGAAAGGTCATCAAGTCCAGCCCCCTGCCTTCACTAGCAGGACCAAGTACTGATTTTGCCCCAGATCCCTAAGTGGCCCCCTCAAGGATTGAACTCACAACCCTGGGTTTAGCAGGCCAATGCCCAAACCACTGAGCTATCCCTCCCTCCTAGGGATATGAAAGGCGGAGACCACCTTTGGAAGGAATGCAGGGTGTGGGCGAAGTTGGACCTTACCCTTGTGGAAGACCGTATATGGAGGTTCCGAGGTCAAGGCCCTGAGCTCTGAGACACGTCCGGCTGACGTGATTGCTACAAGAAAGGCTACCTTCCACGAGAGGCGAGACAAGGAACACGTGGCCAAAGGTTCAAAGGGAGGCCCCGTGAGGCGGGACAACACCAGGTTTAGGTCCCACTGCGGTACAGAGGTCTAGCATACGGGAATGAACGGTCAAGGCCATTCAGGAAGAAGGAGGTCATAGTATGGGAGAAGACCGAGTGCCCTTGCACCGGCGGGTAGAAGGCCTATATGGCCGCCAAGTGTACCCTAACAGAGGCGGGTGCCAGCCCTTGGGTCCTAAGGGATAGGAGGTACTCGAGGATAAGCTGGAGTGGTGCGGACGATAGGGAGACTCCTCACTCCCCCGCCCACCTGGAAAATCGGGACCACTTCGCCAGGTATGCCTGGCTTCCAACTTTCCAGGAGGACCTGCCTACTTCCTCAGAACACCTCCTCTCCTCCTCCTCCTCTAGCCACTGAGCAGCCATGCTGTCAGGTGGAGAGCGGCCAGATTGGGATGAAGGAGGCGGCCCCCGTCCTGGGAGAGGAGGTGCAGGCGTAGCGGCAACCTCCTCGGAGGGGCCGCCAGTAGGTCCCCGTACCAGTGTTGACGTGGCCAGGCTGGGGTGATAAGGATGATACGTGCTTTGTCTGTTTTCACTTTTTCTAGGACTTTGCCTATAAGGGGAAACGGTGGAAAAGCACAGAAAAGCTGTTCCGACCACTGCAGGAGGAAGGCATCTGAGATCGAGGCCCTCCCCAACCAACCCCCCCCCCCCGGAACAAAATCAGGGGCAATGCTGGTTCTGGCGGGTCGCGAACAGGTCCACATGGGGAATTCCCCACTCTCGGAAGAGCCGGTGAGTGACCTCCTAGTGGAGCATCCACTTGTAACGGGGGGAGAAAACCCTGCTGAGGCGATCGGCCTATGTATTGTGGGCGCCCGGTAGGTGGAAGGCCCTCAGGGACATGTCGTGGGCTATACAGAATTCCCACAGGCTCAAGGCTTCCCAGCCGAGGACCGTGCCCCACGGTGCCTGTTGATGTAGAACATCGTGGCGGTGTTGTCCGTAAGGACTCTGACCACCTTGCCACGAAGCTGCATGATGAAAGCTACACACGCCAACCGTACCGCCCTGAGCTCCCTGACATTTATATGGAGGGACAGGTCCGAGGCTGACCACATCCCTTGGGTTTGCATGTTCCCTATGTGGGCTCCCCAGCCCAAGTCCGACGCATCGGACACCAGGTCTATCGATGGGACCGCCTCCTGGAAAGGAACCCTTTGGAGCATGTTGCCCGGGAGGACCACCATTGTAGGGAGGCGATTACTGGGGTCAGTACCATGAGACCTTGTCCAGGCTGTCCCGGGCCTGGAAGAACTGAGAGGCTAGCCATAGCTGGAGGGGCCTCATTTGGAGCCTGGCGTGGCGGAGCACATACGTGCACACCGCCATGTGTCCTAGGATCTGAAGGCACGCCCGTGCTGTTGTCACCGGAAGTCGTGACCGAGGCGATGAGACCTTTGAGGGTTTCGAACCTGCCCACTGGGAGAGAGGCTGTGGCCCTTAAGGAGTCCAGTAGTGCCCCTATGAATTCTATATACTGCACGGGGACTAGCACTGATTTGGTCTCGTTTACCAACAGGCCGAGATTGGCACATATGGACAGAAGCAGGTCCTGAGAGGGTGAGTTGCCCTTGAGAAGCCAGTTGTCCAGATATGGGAACATCTGGACCCCTTCTCGTCTGAGGTAGGCCACTACCACCACCATACACTTTGTGAATACCCTGGGCACTGTGGATAGGCCAAATGGGAGAACCGTGAACTGGTAGTGGTTGGGCCCCACTAGGAAATGGAGGAAGCGCCTGTGCCCTTCTAAAATATGTATGTGGAAATATGTGTCCTGAAGGTCCAGGGCCATGTACCAGTCCCCCGGCTCCAGGGAGGGGATAATAGAAGCCAGGGACACCATGTGGAACTTGGAGTGGACCATAAACCGATTGAGATTCTGCAGATCTAGGATGGGTCTGAGACCCCCTTTCACTTTTGGGATCAGGAAATATCGGGAGTAGAAGCCCCTGCTCTGGAATTCTACTGGCACTCTCTCCACTGCCCCCAGGTGTAGTAGTCGTTCCACCTCCTGACCTAGGAGATGAACATGCTCCGGGTCCCCCGAGCCCACCAGGGATGGAGGGGTGGTTGGGCGGGGGTGAACTGAACTGCAACGTGTAGCCCTTGGAAATGGTGTTGAAGACCCAGCAGTCCGAGGTTATTCGTGACCAATCCCCACAGAAGGCAGACAAGCGGTTGCCGAACACAAACTTTATTAGTAGGGGGGTTTCCATGGCAACTGCCTTGGTGCCCCCCTTCAAATAATCAAAACCACCTCTTTCCCTGCCTCTTACCCTTAGAGGGCCCAGGCTGTGGGGCAGAGCGGGACTGTCGTTGAGGCCGGCGCTTCTGGTCTCTTGGCCTCTTGTAAGGGGGCTCATATCTGCTCTGGCAGGGTGAGCTGACGTCTGCGGTTTGGCCTTGTTCTTAGCCGGAGGGATGTAGAGGCCCAAGGTCTGCAGGATGGTACGAGAGTCTTTCATCCCGTACAGCCTGACGGGCGTCTGTTTGGTGAACAGGACCTTCCCATCGAACAGCACGTCCTGCATGAGGGACTGGGCCTCCGCCGAAAGCCCGGACAGGAGGTGCTATGACACCCTGTGCATGGAGATCGCGGAGCCCATCGAGCGAGCTGCCGTATCCACCGCGTCTGCCGCTGCCTGCAGAGCTGCTTTGGCTGCCGTCGCCCCCTCGTCCACCAATGCCTTAAAGTCCTTCCTATCCCGCTCTGGGAGGAATGGCTCAAATTTTGGCAGGGACTCCCATAAATTAAAATCATATCGGCTCAGTAAGGCCTGATGGTTGGCCATCCTGAGCTGGAAACTTGAAGAGGAGTAGTTTTCTACCAAAAGAGTCTAGTCTCCTGGAGTCTTTATTCTTGGGTGTGGGCTGGCCCTGCCGCTCCCGGTGGTTCACCGATTCCACTACCAGAGAGTTAGGTGCCGGGTGAGAATAGAGGTATTTGTGGTTCTTGGCCGGCACGAAATACTTCCTCTCAGCCTTCTTGGAAATCGGGGCCAGAAAGGCAGGAGTTAACCATAGGGCATTGGAGATGTTGGCTACTCCTTGGTGAAGGGGTAAAGCCACACGGCCCGGCACTGAGGGGGACAATACATTAAAAAGAGAATCGGACGGGCCCTCCATCTCCTCTGCCTGCAGCTGGAGGCTCGACGCCACCCGCTTTAGCAGGTCTTGATGCGCCATGAAGTCTTCCTGTGGAGCAGAGGGTGGCAGTGTCGTGATAGTATCATCCAGTGCAGGAGAGGAGGCGGGCACGGGGCTGTGGGCCGCAGCCGGTGCATCAACCCCCAGGTCGGAGTCCGGGCGCGGAGCCGACAACTCATGATCTGTCGATTTGTCCCTTGGCCTAGATAGCGAAGCTGATGGGGCCCCGTCCGCCCCGGCCATCAAGCGGGTTCCCGGCTGGGTGGGCATCGGCAGCCACGGGGCTCACTGACATCATTGTCCCACCATGGGGCCTCTTGCCAATGTCCATGCTGCAGGCCAGGTGGCGCTATCTGGTCCGGCTGATGGGTACGGCCCAGCAAGGGGCAGCTGGGTGCCAAGGCAGAGGTCACCACCGACCAAACGGTACCATAGGAGCGGTGGGAGCAACGGTGCCTACAATGCTGTCTTCCAAGGGATCGGGAGCTCGATGTCGAGGACTGGTACCCCCCGGAAGTACTGTTCCGAGATTCGCTTCGGCGCCAGGAGCTACAGTGCCGTGGTGCTGATGACGCGCGGCGGGAGCCCCATGTGTGATATCTGACAGAGCGAGAGCGTGGACGTCGGTCACGCCGAGACCGGTTACGATAGCTGCGTCATGAAGAGGAACGCCTTCGATGCCTATCTTGGTGCCTGCGCCCGCTGTTGCGTGGAGGGACCCCGAGACTCCTGCCCGGACGGCACCGAACCAGGTAACCTGGCTGGTATTGAGGATGGTGGAGGCGAGCTGCAAGTGGACCTGTCGTTGCGTGCCGAATGAGGTAGAGAGCGGGCTTCGGACTGAGAGCTGCGCTGTACCGGGGAGGCCTGTCAAGCACCCAGCGGCGGTTTGCCTCGGGACCAGGGGCCTGCCACCGGCAAGCTCAAAATGTCTCGAGTGGCCCGTTGAGCCTCCGGTGTCGATGGGATCCAGACCGCAGGAGAGTTGCATGTCGACGCTGCCGGGCTACTCCGTTCAGCACAAGTCAAAGGTTTCGAGCCCGGGGGGACACCGAGGGCTGCCCAATGCGGGACCAGCCTCTCCCCCTCCCTTCTCTCGGGACCGCTGCGAAGTCGAGCTCTTCCTTTGATTCTTGGAAGGGGAGTGGTGCCGACCGGGGGAGGGGGCTTCGCTGTGCACCGATGATGCGGTGCCAGATGCCAAGTCTGCTCGGCATACTGGAGTTGGAGCCAGCACTGATTCCATGAAGAGAGCGCGAAGTCTGACGTCCCTCTCCTTAGTTCATGGCTTAAAAGACCTGCAGATCTTGCAGCGTTCACTCGTGTGAGTTTCGCCCAAGCAGCGGAGACATTCAGCACGCGGATCACTCCTTGGCATGGAATGGCAACAGGAGTCGCACGACTTGAAGCCTGGGGCACTGGGCATGCCCCAGGCCCACTCTAACAACTGAAAACTACTTTCTACAAGCTACTAATAACTAGCTAAAGGTACCACTAAGATCAACTGGAAAGGCTGCAGCAGAGCTGGAGCAAGAAATTCCGACACACCTTCACTGGCGGCAAGAAGGAACTGAGGGTGGGGGAGTGCGTGGCTCCCCTTATAGCGTGATATAGAGGCGCCACTCCAGGGGTCACAGCGGTGCTTCCCCCCCCTCCCCCCACAGGTACTGCTAAGGGAAAAACTTCCGGCACTGGTGCATGTGGCGAGCACGCACGCCTACTGTGGATAGACATGAGCAAGCACTCGAAGAAGAGCCTGAGCATTCAGTCTTCTCTAACCATTCTCAGCTTTTGGCATAGGCAACCTTGACCCCATTACATAGTTTGTTCTGCAGTTATCGTAGAATCACAGAACTGGAAGGGACCTTGAGAGGTCATCTAGTCCTGTCCCCTGCACTCAAGGAAGAGCTAAGTATTATCTAGACCAGGGGTAGGCAACCTATGGCACGCATGCTGAAGGCGGCACGCGAGCGGATTTTCAGTGGCACTCACGCTGCCCGGGTCCTGGCCACCGGTCTGGGGGGCTCTGCATTTTAATTTAATTTTAAATGAAGCTTCTTAAACATTTTAAAAACCTTATTTACTTTACATACAACAATAGTTTAGTTATATATTATAGACTTATAGAAAGAGACCTTCTAAAAACGTTAAAATGTATGACTGGCACGCGAAACCTTAAATGAGTGAATAAATGAAGACTGGCACACCACTCCTGAAAGGTTGCCAACCCCTGATCTAGACCATGTCTGACAGGTGTTTGTTTAACCTGCTCTTAAAAATCCCCAATGATGGAGATTCCTCATCTCCCTAGGCAATTTATTCCATTGCTTAACCACTCTGATAGTTAGGAAGTTTTTCCTCATGTCCAACCTAAACCGCCCTTGCTACAATTTAAGCCCATTAATTCTTGTCCTATCCTCAGAGGTTAAGAACAACAATTTTTCTCCCTCCTCCTTGTAATAACCTTTTATGTACTTGAAAACTGTTATGTCCCCTCTCAGTCTTCTCTTCTCCAGACTAAACAAACCCTATTTTTTCAATCTTCCCCCATAGGTCATGCTTTCTAGACCTTTAATCCTTCTTGTTGCTCTTCTCTGGACCCTCACCAATTTGTCCACATCTTTCTTGAAATGTAGTGCCCAGACCTGGACACAATACTCCAGTTGAGGCCTAATCAGTGCGGAGTAGAGCAGAAGAATTACTTCTTGTGCCTTGCTTACAACACTCCTGCTAATACACCTCAGAATGATACTTGCTTTTTTTTGCAACAGCGTTACACGGTTGACTCATATTTAGCTTGTGATCCATTATGACCCCCAGATCCCTTTCCACAGTTCTCCTTCCTAGGCAGTCATTTCCCATTTTATGTGTGCGCAACTGATTGTTCCTTCCTACGTGGAGTACTTTACATTTGTCCTTATTGAATTTCATCCTATTTACTTCAGACCATTTCTCCAGTTTGTCCAGCTCATTTTGAATTTTAATCCTATCCTATGCACTTGCAACCCCTCCCAGCTTGGTATCATCAGCAAACTTTATAAGTGTACTCTCTATGCCATTATCTAAATCATTAATGAAGATATTCAACAGAACCGGACCCAGAACCGATTCCTGCGGGACCCCACTCATTATTCCCTTCCAGCATGAGTGTGAACCACTGATAACTACTCTCTGGGAATGATGGTCCAACCAGTTATGCACCCACCTTATAGTAGCTCCATCTAGGTTGTATTTCCCTAGTTTGTTTATGAGAAGGTCATGCAAGACTGTGTCAAAAGCCTTACTAGTGTCAAGATATACCACATCTGCCGCTTCCCCCCTATCCACAAGGCTTGTTACCCTGTCAAAGAAAGCTATCGGGTTGGTTTGACAGAATTTGCTCTTGACAAATCCATGCTGACTGTTATTTATCACCTTATTAACTTCTAGGTGGAGCAAATAATTAAGGAATCAATTTGCAAACATCATCTTTCCAGGTACCGAAGTTAAGCTGACTGGTCTGTAATTCCCCGGGTTGTCCTTATTTCCCTTTTTATAGATGGGCACTATAATTGCCCTTTTCCAGTCTTCTGGAATGTCTCCCGTCTTCCATGACTTTTCAAAGATAATTGCTAATGGCTCAGAGATCTCCCCAGTCAGCTCCTTGAGTATTCTAGGATGCATTTCATCAGGCCCTGGTGATTTGAAGATATCTAATTTGTCTCAGTAATTTTTGACTTGTTCTTTCCCTATTTTACCCTCTGATCCTACCTCATTTTCACTGGCATTCACTATGTTAGACATCCAATCACCACCAACCTTCTTGGTGAAAACCGAAACAAAGAAGTCATTAAGCACCTCTGCCATTTCCACATTTTCTGTTATTGTCTTTCCCACCTCATTGAGTAATGGGCCTACTCTGTCCTTGGTCTTCCTCTTGCTTCTAATGTATCAGTAGAATGTTTTCTGGTTTCCTTTTATGTTTCTAGCTAGTTTGATCTCATTTTGTGCCTCGGCCTTTCTAATTTTGTCCCTACATACTTGTGTTATTTGTTTATATTCATCCTTCGTAATTTGACTGAGTTTCCACTTTTTGTAGGTCTCTTTTTTGAGTTTTAGATCATTGAAGATCTCCTGGTTAAGCCAGGATGGTCTCTTGCCATACTTTCTATCTTTCCTACGCAGTGGGATAGTTTGCTCTTGTGCCCGTAATAATGTCTCTTTGAAAAACTGCCAACTGTCTTCAATTGTTTTTCCCCTTAGACTTGCTTCCCATGGGATTTTACCTACCAACTCCCTGAGTTTGCTAAAGTCGCCTTCTTGAAACGCATTGACTTTATTGTGCTGTTCTCCCTCCTACCATCATGGTCGGGTCCTTGTCACTACTCACTACACAACTCATTTTCTGGACAGAAAGTAAACATATACTTATGCACAATGAAGTTATATGTGAGATGCAAAGCCTTAAGATTCGCTTTAGGTCAGTGGAGGGAGAAAAACAAGGACTTGACATTTTACCCAGGCAGAATTAATGGTAAGATTTAGCAAACATTAATATTGACAATTGTATGTGCTAAAAGTTAACTGGTAACTTCTGCTGCAACTGAAGTTAGAATGAAGCTGTATTCAAGTGTCTACCTTTGTTCAAGTGTGCTGCCAAACAGAGTTTTTCTAGTAGGAGCCTGGAGCCTGTTAGGATTTTGTGGAACATGAAAGCCTCTGGCTGCTGGTGTAGTCTGTTTTGCAACAGTGTCCTCAGAGCTGCAGAGAATGGCAAGACTGCTTTGGCGCAAAGTTCTACTGGCTGATCTTGGAGTTGTCAGTTGTTTAGAAATCCGTTGGGAAGATCTGCCAGGTGTTTTGGAAGGCAAAGCTGAAAAATGGGACAAATTCAGTGACCAAGATTCTGATTAGAAACACTTTCTAATTTGCTATTTTTTCTATTTGTTGAACTTAAGTGTTTTATTCAGATGGCAAGTTAAGAATAAATTTCTTGTAAATTCTACCAGGTAGAATATGGACAAAGGTGACAAGGGTGAATAGGTCACTAACAGTTTAAATCCAAAAAAACTACAAAATATGAAAAAAAATCTTTCAAGTATTCTAGTAAACATCTTGGATTTTAACATTCCCTTGTAGTTTACAGCTGTGCTAGTACAGGAGAACCAGAATCTGAAACTGAGTAGGAATAAGAAAGTACTGTAGTCAGTTTTACTATACAAACCAACTGAAGTATAAACAGCACAAATTATACAGTACACATTTTTGTATTAATTAATTTCAACTTATCTCTGGTTTTATTAACAATGGAGATTTTTAAACCTTAAGGTTTAAAAGGACACGGTCATGTTCATAGTCTTAACTGCTTCACCTGACAGAAGCAAGCCCCCCACAGACTAGAACACAACAACTCAAAGCAGCACTAGACCCCTGCAAGAACAGATGCAAAACCTGTAGAAATATCTCCACTGCTATAATGATTAACACCCCCCACAACACAAGGTGACTTGGGCTCGCAGGGCTTGGGCTGCAGGGCTGTTTAACTGCAGTGTAGACATCCAGGTTCGGGCTCTACAACCCTGCGAGGTGGAAGGGTCCCAGAGCTCAGGCTGCAACTGGAGCCAGAACATCTACACCACAACTGAACAGCCCCACAGCCTGAGCCCAAGTCAGCTAGCACAGGCCAGCCGCGAGTGCAGTGTAGACAAACCCTAAATGCCCCAACAACAACTATGTGGGTGAAACGAAACAATCACCATGCTCTCATATGAGCTCACACAGAAAAATGATAAGACAAACACAATATCACACCAACCTGGAAAAGATTTTAGAGGACTTTCAATTCTGAAAAATCCTGCCTCAAACACCACTTTTTCTTCTTCTTTTGGCATCTCTTGGGCTGCTGAGTCAGCTGCTGTCTCTCCCTGCTTCATTTTCTCCTTCATGGCCGCTCTGATGGCAGCAATACGGTTTCGGGCAGCAGTTCTTCCAGCAGCCCCTTGTTTCGGCTTAGATATCCCACTTGGGACAGCTTTCTTCTGAACGTTGTAAAAGAGAATCTCTATCACATCTTAAAGCTTAGAGACAAAAGGCAGTTACACAAGAACATCTTTGGAGCTGCTGGCCACTGTAAATAGTGCCCATACAAAGGTGGCAATGGGGAATCTAATCGCTGGGAAGATCATCCCTGTTCATGCCCTTGATCTCTTCTACTGTCATTCAACTATTTCAGGGTTTTGGGAATGGACAAAAAGAGCAGAGCAATTTCTTTTCAAGGAGTGTTGAAGTAAAAGCCTAGAGTTCAAAACTTCCTAACACCTTGCTGATGGCCATCAGGGTTTCTTTTGCTCATGTCCTTGTAAGCAGTGGGCTGCAGAGACTCCTAGTGGCCAGGAGATAGAGATGCAGGACAGCAAAAGGGATGCTACTAGCTTATCTGTAAAGTTTCTCTTCCTAACCACACTGGTCCAACAATTTTTTAACTTGAAGCTTATATTCTGGTGCATAATTCTGCAGCAAAGAATGGATTCTGCAGCCAAACTGTGGAACGCACACAGCCTGACTGTTAGTCCAATGAGTCACTGGAAGCGATTACCTACCTTCCACTTGGCAGACTGTATTAAATACTTTAACAGTTATGTTTTTGGAGCGTCAGACTGTTTCATACCCAAAAAATCAGAAGTATTCTAACCCCAAATAGTGGAACTGTCCTATATTTACTCCCCTTTATTACAGTTTAGCATTTACAGCACAGGTTTAGCAAAGTCACCCATAACTTTCTACTTTTGCCACTGGCATGACTGCAAAGACCTCACCCGAAAAAGCAAACTGAGTTAATATTGCATTGACAAGAGTCCTTGCTCTAGAGTACAACTGAGATGTTAGCTACTACACTTTAAGTTTGTGGCTTTGTAGCCACCTTCCCTCTCGGGTCTGTGGCACCCCCTTCTGGCAGGGGCAAACAGCAGTAGGTCTGGACTCTGGCACTTTGAGTGTGGACACAATAGTCAATAGTTTATGGCTCTCAGCTTCCTGGCTGGGACAAAGAACAACAGCTGTCTCTGAGCTCTGGCCCTCTGGGTGGAGCAGAGCAAATAAACATTCTATAGCCCTCAGCCTCCTGGCTGGGGCAAGCAATCAACCAGCAGTCTCTGATGCAGGCCTTCTGGCCTAGGCTGAGTACAGTATGTAGCCAGCCCTAGAGGTGGGGCAGTGGCAGGGCATAGGGGTACCTGGGCCCACCCTACTCCACCAGGTGCCAGCTCAGGGCCGTAGCAGTGGCTGACAGTCCCATAACTGGGTCAGTAGGGAAACACTGCCTCGTGCCCTGCCAGCACAACTGGACCAAGATCTGGTTTCCCTGAGCTACTTCCTACCCAACTCTGTCGGCATTGCTCCATCGCCACCAGGCTCTGTCCTGCAGTGCTTCCTCTGATGTCTCCCCGGGGCCTTTTGCCTCTTGGGTCAGTAGGGCATCGGTCTACTCCATGGCCAGTCCTGGGTCTTGCCTAGGGTGTGGCTCTCGGGGAGTTGTCCACTTCCTTCCCCAGTCCACCTGCAACTGAGCTGTAGGGCCGTCCTCTTATACTTCCTGACCCGCCCTTACACTTCCTGTGAGGGGAGCGGGGCAGATTTGCCTGCACCCACCCTGGGGAGTGTAATGGTCCCTCCCGGTCAGGTCCTGAGGAAGCCACTGCCTTATTCCAGGCTCTCTACCTACTTTAATTCTGAGGCCTACTCTACGCTGTAAGTGCAATAGCGGTGCAGCTACACTGATGCAGCTGCATTGCGGTAGCACGTCTGGTGAAGACACTATGCCGATGGGAGAAAGCTCTCCTGTTGGCATAATAAAACCACCCCAGCGAGAGGGGGTGGGCATGTTGGCGGGAGCTCCTGCCGACATAGTGCTGTCCACACCGGTGCTTAGGCCTCTGTAATTTATGTCGCTCGAGGGTGTGGCTTATTCACATCTGAGCGACATTAGTTATACCAACATAACTGTAGTGTAGACAAGCCTTAAGAGATGGTATGCCTTTGCTGTGGTTCTCTGTGCAAGAGTCAAGATTTCAATTCCTAGTCCAAATTCCTTGGGCCAGAAAAGGCTAAACTATAGGTCACTACTGCCAGTTAATTGGGGATGGGGGTGAAAGGGTGAAGACTGTTTTTTGAAAGGAGTTCTCTAATATTACTGGTTTTATTTAGAGAGGAAAAACTGAATGAGCAGGGCTTCAGGAGGCATAGTAGCCTTATACTACAAATATTCTATTTGGAACTGTTCAAAACGGTTACATGTTAAGTCTTAGAGCAGACTTTTAGGAGTTGCACATACCTTGATGGCTCTTTTGCTTGGGATGTTAACTGGCTGCCAACCATTCTCTTGAAGTTTACTCAGGTTATCAAATTTTTTATTCACATCTTCTACCTGTTGAAGATCCAAGAAAAGACTGCTGCAGAACTAGGTTTACAGCTGCATAACTTATTTCAATCAAATGTTTTTTAAGCATAAAACAGGTGGTTTATTGGGTATTTAGGTACCTTTACATTAAAAACATAAGAACGGCCATACTGGGTCAGACCAAAGGTCCATCTAGCCCAGTATCCTGTCTTCTGATAGTGGCTAATGCCAGGTGCTTCAGAGGGAATAAACAGAACAGATAATCAAGTGATCCGTCCCCTTTCACCCATTCCCAGCTTCTGGCGAACAGAGGCCAGGGACACCATCTCTCCCCATCCTGGCTAATAGGCACTGATGGACCTATCCTGCATGAATTTATCTAGTTTTTTTTAACCCTGTTATAGCCTTGGCCTTCACAACATCCTCTGACAAAAAGTTCCACAGGTTGACTACATTGTCTCAAGAAATATTTCCTTTTGTTTGCTTTGAACCTGCTGCCTATTTATTTCATTTGGTTACCCCTAGTTTGTGTATTATGAGGAGTACACAACACTTCCTTATTTACTTTCTCCACACCAGTCATGATTTTATAGCCCTCTATCATATCCCCTCTTAGTCTTATTAATCTCTCCTCATATGGAAACTGTTCCATACCCCTAATCGTTTTTGTTGCCCTTTTCTGTACCTTTTCCAATTAAATATAGAAGTGGGCTGAACTACCAACAGATTCTAGTAGGAGAAATGAATCGCTGGCTCCCAGTTAACATAGCTGATGTGACTAACACTAATATACACACATTAGAGTCCAAGATACTTGGGTTTATTCAAAACAGTCCTTGTCACACTGGATGATCCAATGAAAGAAAACACTGGATCACCTTCAGGAAATCCAGCACCTAGAATTAAAGTAGTCTGCTTACAGCCTACTGTTCACATGCTGAATTAGAAATAAAGAGTGACAAATTAAGTTGTGTCAAAGAAATTTTCTTAGAAATCATTAGGCTTAAGGGCTATGTGGAACACATTATTGTGCAACAGTACCTACAACGGCAACACCCAGAAGTGCAGGCTCTCCACTAGGCAGGAAACATTTTTAGTGTAGAGTTGTTGCAAGATTTGCTACATCTCTGCCTCCTTTCCTAGATTTCTTCTCCTAGCCTGTTCAGCCCCTGCTTTTGACATCCTGAGACTATGGACACAAACTTGTACTACAATAGTACCAGTACTACCAATAGTACCTTGGCTCGTCTTTGAATCTGGTAAGGAGTTTGCTGTCCCTGGTCAGTCTGGAGTTACAACACTTGGTCCGTCCCTGGTGAACTGGTTCTCTGAGGTAACATGCATCTGATTCCACCAGTTCTCCTCTCACCTCTCACTCACAGCATGTGCAAGTGACTGAATAGTGAGGGAGAACTGGGCAGAGCTGGGGATATTTTTACGCCAAGTTTGTCTCCACAGCACCCTTATGCTTCCTCCTAGGTAAAGGTTTTCTGCTGCCTTTCCAGCAATCAAATAGGTGTGTGTAGCATATTCCATTCTTTCAGCATATACAAAGTTGGCTGCATTAGCCAAAGGTTTCTTCCCAAGTGCTTGTGACTTTCCTGGTGGCAGACCCACCCATTTCCCTGAGAAAATCCAAGGACACACTCCAGTTCCCTTGGGTGGTCATTGCAAGCTAAATACATTTTTGCCTTTTGATTTGACTAGTTATAAATTTGCTGGGTTAAAAAAAGGACAAAAGAAGCACTAATCAATTCCAGTTTAGGAAAGGCTCATTTTCCCCCAGGCTCAAATGCATTTCACTACTGCTCTCAAACACATGGAAGATGCTCTTCCCCAATTCTCTCAGAAGATTTAGTCTAATGGTAACCTGTACACTGTAACACAGCTGTGACCACACAGTCACAGCTGTGTTACAGTGTACAGGTTACCATTAGACTACTAAACCAGCACCTATAGTTTTGTTTTGTGTACACAGAATACATTAGGGTCTGAAAATCTACAAATGCAGCCTCCATAAAATGAACACAGTGGATTGAAAGAAGTTTCACATGAATTTCGTAGAGGTTCTGTGTTTTGTTGTAGTTTAACATTTTAAGTGCATACCTGAAAACTAACCATATCCCAAAATCCATCCAGATCTGTGCATGTCGTCTCCTTATCACCCCGTTTAAATTCACAGTTATCCACCAGTCCTTCAAACTGTTTAAACCTCTCTGCTATGAGCAGTCTCGTTTGACCAACTGTTGTCCGAATGAGATCTTTTGCTGATGATAACAAGTTAACAGTTGAAGATACACATTAAAAGAACATTTCATTCCACCGTTATTGTGGTTTAATCTATTTATGTCTAAGAGTGTAGAGTGCCAGAATTTGCTTCCTGTATAACCTGACTTCAGATTCACTGCATCCAGAGCAATGTTTCAAAACAGCTCATATGGAGCGGCAGCCAACCACCGTATATGCAACTCTTCTAGGCATGCTAGATACTTTTAGAAGTAGCACAACTTCCAGAGATCTTAAAAGAGGAGATCTGACTATGGCATTGGACTCATGTTCCCCAAACAAGAACAGTTACTCTATGTTAAGTCTTAAATTTGGTTTAAAAGCTATTCTATAGCTTGGCTATGTTTCATGTCTTTTTTTTTTTTGGGTTAAAAAGGGCAAAGTTTGAAAATGACAAGTTGTTTTGGTGGACAACTCCATTTACTTTGTTAGTGTCAGCAAACTGCATCCTAAATCTCATGCTTCAGGGTTTCAGCTGGCCACCAGAAGGGGACAGGAATGGATTCCCCCCACCCCACAGCTATTCTGGGAGGGTTTTTATTTATCTTCTTCCTCTGAAGCATCAGAAGATGGCCATCGCTGGAGATGGGATGCTGCGGGATGGCCAGAGCTCTGAGGTGGCACCAAGCACACTCACACACACACAGTGTCACACAGTGTCACACAGTGTCTCTCTCTGGTGCTTGGTCTGCTGGTTCTGGCTTAAATGATCATGCTATAACTAATCACCATATGTGAGGTTGGGAAGGAATTTCCCCCCACATCAGATTGACAGAGATCTTGGGTTTTTTTTGCCTTCCTCTGCAGTATGTGGGTGCAGGTCACTTGCCAGGATTATCTGGGTATATCTCAGATAATCATTTTCCTGCCATCATGGGGGCCTCGGTCACTGGTGTGCCTCGGTCACTGGTGTACCTCAATCCCTCCTAGTCTCTGCCTGTGGCTCTTAATAGTCTAGTGTCCTGTGGGTTGTAAGACTGGTCTCATTTTGGTTGTTGGGTTAATGTGTGGATGCTAGGTGGGGTTGGTGGCCTGATGCTATACAAGAAGTGAGACTAGATTACCCAGTGGTCCCTCCTGGCCTAAAACTCTGACACTCTGTGAGCTTTAATGCTAACATTTAAAAATATTCTGGACAAACTCTACACTTTGCCCAATACAGTTTTTTCATGTGTCTCAACCAATGCAATTTGGCCCATACAATCAAAATAAATTATGCTTTTCCCCCCACCCCCAGTGATCAGACAATATAGGGTTGGGATGAAACCCATTCCGTTCCCTACTACATGTTTGTTCTCTTACCATCCTCTGGTATGTCCAGTTCAAACTTTCCATCCCACTGGAGACAGTGTGACATCAGCCTCTCAGTCTCAGAGGCAAGAACGTTTCTTAAAAAGAAAAGAAAAGTGAGATACCCAACCTCTGTTATATTTTACAGTAAAATTTGATCCTCCCTAACTGCCATTAGTACTTTTGCAGCTGCTGGTGTTATCTTAGTCTCTTACTAGGAGGGAAACATTTCTTCTTTCTGCTCTAGGAGAGGTTTGATAGAATATACCAGCAAGCTATAAAAACCCAAGCAGCCAGTCTTGGAGACTGATAAAAAGAGAACTTTCTCCGCTCACTCTCCTAGGGTTAAGAAGGCATTAGTCTTCATCACTTTAAATTCTGTTTGTATTCAATATGTATATAATACAAAGCACAAAAAGAGAATAGTAATTAACATCTGCTTGGTACATATAGGAAGATAAAGACACTGATCTATTCCAAATTAACATTTAAGAGATGGTTTGTCACTGGCTTTAAGAACTCTAGGAAAGGCCAGTATGAGAGTTAAACATGACTCAGATTATCCAGCTACCAAGAAAACCTCTTACTATTGATGTTGTTAGAGTTTAAAGTGACTTATTGAGTTTGTGTTTTATGGATATTCTAGTTTTTAGTGCTCTGTTCTGAAGTCTTGTTAGCCAGGTAAGAAGCTAATCTTAACACAAACCTGAAATAGGGAACGTCATGATCTGTTTCTCCTGCTTTGGTTTCAATTGCGGAGATATCTGCAGACACTGGACTAGTTTCATGTGAACTCTGCATAGCATCTTGCGTCTTGGTTGAGGCACATTCTGAAAAATATATGAAGGATATTTGATCACCAGGACACTGCACTTGACAAACCAGGAAGAGAGGATCACATGAAATGTGAAGCGCAATACTATACCGTTCTTCACGGTCACTGAATTTGTACCAATTGGCTGTTCTTGAGAGCCTTTATCAGTCCCTTCCTGAGCAGGTGGAGCTTGACGTTTTAACAAACACTCTTTTCTTGATTCTTCTTTAGAAACATTACTAAGGAATAGAAAAGTTAGAAACAGTTACTTGGCATGCCTTAAAATGGGCTAACATGGCCAATAATATACTACATTACAGGAACAAGGCATTTTTAAGTGCAGTTAATCAAATCTAAATGTTAAACATGTGTGCCTTGAGAAGTCAAACTATTTTTACTAAAAAGCAACAAGTGTGTATTTCATAGCATATATCAAGAGACTGCAGAGAGCTCTACTCCTAAAGGCACATGATTATAGACCATGGTTTCCTTTACCACTACACAGTCAAATATAGGCTTGGTGGGTAATGATCAGAAATCATCGCATTAAATGTCAGATATCCTTCAACTGACATGCTGCTACAGTTTAATATTAGACAGGTTTCCACAGCAGAACTGCCATTGCAATTTGAATCCCCTTTCATCAACAAGGTCTAAGCTGTAATGGAAGCAAAGTCATTAGAAGAGGGAGTTCTTACGCTTCAATTTTCATAGGGCTCCAGGAGAGACAGGGTGTCAAAAATGCATTTGCCCTGGAAGGAGTCATGGGTGTAACTTTATAAGTTGTTAAACCATCTAGGGGCTGAAACACAAAGTTCTGAGGAGCAAAAGAACATGTTCTCTGTCTCACTGGAACTGGAATGTGTGTCACCGGTATGTTTTCCTTTTCTAGCAGGGTCTCTTCCTGATGAATTTCTGATGTTGGATTTTTAGAGTTACTGACAGAGACTTCAGTTAGTTGATCCATCAAAGTATTTCCTTCCACTTCATGTTTATGTGCCTGTAACAGCACAAGATAGACAAAGCAAACATTCAAACCAGTTCTTATAGTAGAAATAAAGTTGAGGTTATTGTCACTTCTATTTCAACTTTAGTCCATATTACTGCAAGTACTACAGGACTTTCATTAGCCTGTTTGTTTATAAGCCGACCCTGCCAAGATGGATAGGTAAAAATAGCAAAAACTGTATGACCCTTTCATAAGCCGACCCTATATTTCAGGGGTTGGCAAACTTTGGCTCCTGGCCCGTTAGGGTAAGCCGCTAGCGGGCCTGGACGTTTTGTTTACCTGGAACATTCACAGGCATGGAGCCCCTCAGCTCCCAGTGGCCTCGGTTCGCCGTTCCCAGCCGATGGGAGCTGCGGGAAGTGGCGCCACAGGGAGCTGAGGGGCTCCATACCTGCAGATGCTCCAGGTAAAAAAAACGACAATGTATTAGATATTCAATTGAATGATTCCATAGAGTTTAAAATCATCAAATTTTGGTGTAGACCCATTTATAAGCCGACCCCTGCGCTTTGATGAGTCACTTTTTATCAAAAATATTTGGCTTATGAACGAGTACATACAGTAAGTACTATATTTATATTCCAATTGATTTATTTTATAATTATATGGTAAAAATGAGAAAGTAAGCAATTTTTCAGTAATAGTGTGCTGTGACACTTTTGCATTTTTATGTCTGACTTTGTAAGCAAGTAGTTTAAGTGAGATGAAACTTGGGGTACACAAGACAGATCAGACTCCTGAAAGGGATACAGTAGTTTGGAAAGGTTGAGAACCACTGCTCTAGAAGACTAAATTTAGATCTAATCCTCCGTAAAAAATGGTTACATACCTTTCGTAACTGTTGTTCTTCGAGATGTGTTGTTCATGTCCATTACACATCAGGTGTGCGCGCGTTGCGTGCACGGACATCGGAAACTTTTTCCCTCAGCAGCTCCCAGCGGGCCGGCAGGGGTCCCTCTCCCTCCCCGCCAGAGCGGCGCCCCGCTCTAGCGTATATATATCCCTGTGGGCCCGACCCTCCCTCGGTTCCTTCTTGCCGGTGACTCCGACAGAGGGGAAGGAGGGTGGGAAGTGTAATGGACGTGAACACCACATCTCGAAGAACAACAGTTACGAAAGGTAAGTAACCGTTTTTCTTCTCCGAGTGATTGTTCACATCCATTACACATTAGGTGACTCACAAGCTTACCATTGGAGGAGGGTAGGAGTCAAGTAACGATTGATTGAAGCACTGCCCTACCGACCACTGTGTCCTCTCTGGTCTGATGGACGGCATAATGGGCTGTGAATGTATGCACCGACGACCAGATGGCCGCTTTAAAGATTTCCTGGAGTGGAACCTGCGCCAAGAAAGCCGCCGAGGATGCTTGGGCCCTAATCGAGTGAACCCTGATCGCCGGGGTACTTTGGCGAGCTCATAGCATGTGCGGATGCAAATGATGATGATAATTGTTGAGCCGAGATAGGCTAGCCTTTCATTCTCTCTGCAATGGCAATGAACAGTTGTGCCGACTTGCGGAATGGCCTGGTCTGTTCCAGATAGAATGCCAAGGCTCTACGGACATCGAGGGTCTGCAGGCTGCGGTGGCTTGGGTCCGTATGGGGTTTGGGGAAGAACACCGGTAAACAAACGTCCTGCCCCATATGAAATTGTGAGACCACTTTAGGGAGGAATTTGGGGTGCGGTCTCAGCTGTACCTTGTCCTTATAAAAAAATGTACAAGGGGGCTCCGAAGTGAGGGCTCTCAACTCTGATACCCTCCTAGCCGATGTAATGGCCACTAGAAAGCTACCTTCCATGAGAGGTGCATGAGAGAGCAAGAGGCTAGGGGTTCAAAGGGTGGTCCCATGAGTTTAGTTAGGACCAGGTTAAGGTTCCATGTATGGACCAGCGGGCATGAGTAGGGAAACACCCTTTCCAGGCCCTTGAGGAATCGGAGTACTGTGGGGTTGGAAAATACCAAAAAACCCAACTCTCCCGGGTGGAACGCCGATATGGCGGTCAGATGCACTTTAATTGAGGAGGGGGCGAGCCCTTGATGCTTGAGGTGCAGCAAGTAGTCCAGTATTGATGGGATGGAGGCCGGCAGAGGCTGTATGTGATTAGGCTCGCACCAGTGGGAGAACCTCTTCCATTTGGCAAGGTAAGTCACTCTTGTGGAGGGCTACCTACTACCAAGGAGAATTTGTTGGACCTGGTGGGAGCACCTATTCTCCATAGCGTTTAGCCAGAGAGATTCCACGCCGTGAGATGTACCGACGGTAGGTTTGGGTGGAGTAGGCGAGCCCGGTCCTGCGTGATGAGGGGTAGGGCAATCGGGGCGGTCGATGACAGTTCCAGCAGGGTCATAAGCCAATGGTGGCGCGACCACGCCGGTGCGATAAGAATAATTGTCGCTTTGTCCCTGCGGGTCTTGAGCAGGACCCTGTGGATGAGCGGGAATGGTGGGAAGGCGTACCTCAGGCTCCCGCCCCACTGAATCGCGAAGGCATCTGCCAATGAGCCTGGGCTGAGGTTCTGGAATGAACAAAACCGAGGGCATTGGCTGTTGTCCTTGGTGGTGAAGAGATCCACCTGGGGAAAACCCCACCTCTGGAAAATTGAATGCACGTCCTTTTTCAGCGTCCATTCGTGCATGTGGTACGACCTGCTGAGGCAGTCTGCTAACCCGTTTTTGGACCCCTGGAAAATATGCTGCCACCAATTGGACTGAGTGGGCTATACAGAAGTCCCATAGGAGGAGCGCCTCGTGACAGAGGGGAGAGGATCGGGACCAGCCCTGCTTGTTTATGTAGAACATGGCGGTAGTGTTGCCCATCAGAACTGACATGCTGTGGCCTTCTATGGTAGCGTGAAAGGTCTGGCAGGCGAGGCGAACTGCCCTTAACTCCTTCACATTGATGTGGAGCAACTTTTCTTCCCTGGACCATAAGCCCTGGATCCGTAGGTCCCCTAAGTGTGCCCACCAGCCCAGGTCTGACGCATCTGTTACTAATGTCAGGGTGGGCTGCGGTGCAGCAAAAGGGACCCCTTTGCAAACTTGCTGTCGATCGAGCCACCAGCAGAGGGAGTTCGACACCCGAGCTGGGATTGTCGGGAGAACTGAAGGGTGTATCCCACCTCCACCGTGCGAAGAACCCACTGGTCCGATGTTATACGGGACCAAGCACGGTAGAAATGGGACAAACGGTCCCTGAAACATAGGGGAGGATCTGGTACGAGGGTCAGTACACTGTCCTCGATCGCAACTTCAAAATCCTTGCTTGTTGCCAGACTGCGGCTTGCCTTGGCCTTGGTTAGGCGTGTTGTTTCGCCTACGCCTGTTGTCCCTGCCCCTTCTGCGGTACGGTTCCTGCCTGGGGCGAGGGTGGTACTGTCTCTGCTGCGGTGGTTGGGGCTTAAAAGGTTTCCTCTGTGTCGCTGGGGTGTGCATTCCCAACAACTTGAGGGTTGCTCGGGAGTCTTTGAGGCTATGTAGCCTGGCCTCCGTTTGGTCCGAGAACAAGCCTGATCCTTCGAACGGGAGGTCTTGCAAGGTGTTTTGCACCTCTGGTGGAAGGCCTGAAGCCTGTAACCATGCTGAGCGCCGCCTCACCACTCCTGACGCGATTGTCCTGGCAGCTGCGTCCACGGAGTCAAGGGAGGCCTGCAGAGAGGTTCTGGCTACCGCCTTCCCTTCGTCCACTATGGCTGCGAACTTGGGTTGTGAACCCTGGGGCAGGGAATCCTTAAACTTGGAGACTGATGCCCAAGAATTGAAATTGTGCCTGTTCAGAATCGCTTGCTGATTAGCGATCCTTAACTGGTGGCCCCCGGACGAGTAGACCTTTCTACCAAACAAGTCCAAGCACTTTGCCTCCTTGGCCTTGGGGGCCGGGGCTTGCTGGCCATATCGCTCTCGTTCATTGACGGCAGATACGACCAGCAAACAGGGTGTCGGGTGACAAAAGAGGAAGTCGAACCCTTTGGAGGGGACGAAGTACTTCCTCTCTACGCCCTTCGCAGTTGGTGCACTGGAGGCCGGTGTTTGCCATACTGTCTTATAATTAGACTGTACCATTTTTATGAGCGGAAGCACGATTCTGGAGGGGCCTTCAAGGCTTAGGATGTCCACCATGGGATCCTCCTGCTCTACCATCTCTTCCGCCTGTAACCCCAAATTGAGGGCTACTTGGCGGAGTAGTTCCTGGTGCACCCGATGGTCAATTGGGGGAGGGCCTGATACTGTTGTGCCTGCCACGGATTCATCTGGCGAGGAGGAAGAGGTTAAGGCCTTCTGTGCTTCCTCCTCTAATCCTTCCTGCAACTCCTCACTAGCTGGGAGCTCCTCTGGAGTCTGTCCAGTTGAGTGAGCCTGAGACGGTATCGGGCTCGGTGCCATGTCGGCTCTCTCTTGCTCCGGTGGTCTGGAGACCGTGGCCTCCTTGTGAGAGGAGGGGCGCCCCTGCGGGGAGCGGGACCGGTGTCCCGAGGGTCCGGATCTCGAGGCCCTGGACGGGGGGCCTTGCTGGTGGTAGGCCTACGGAGTCCAGAACGGCCACTGTCCTGGAGGGCCCCACTGTGGGTGCCAAGCGGCTTGGTGTTCCCTGCTGGCTGGTGCCCTGTGGGAATATCTGCTGGAATGGCCTGAGTCTGCCTCAGAAACCACGGACGGTGACCTAGAGGGCCACGGTGGTGCCGTAGGACGGTGCCAGTCCGGGGTCGGAGAGTGGTGCTTCCGTGACCAGGACCGGCGCCTTGTCGACCTGGACCGGTACCGGTACCAGTGCCCTCGGGACTGGGAACGACTGCTAGTGGTCGGTCTCAGGGATCGCGTGACTGACACGTCCCAGTGCCTGTTCGAATAAGGAGCTGGGGAATGCTGGACCGGTGCCGGGTGCTTGCTAGGGCCAGACGCCAGTGAGGCTCTCTGCACCAAGGGTAGCCGTGAGTCCACTGAGGCGGAGCTCGACCGGGATCGGCGCCGTGAATGGTGCTGAGATGGTGACCC